CGTGGCTTCTCTCTCCGCACCTCACCCTCCCTCCCTCCTTCTCTGACTCGTTCCCACCAGGCGCAATCGGAGGCGTGCCAACAATACTTCGCAGTCCGTCCTTGCCCTGACGGGAGCCAAGTAGGCTTGCCTCCCCTCTCCGTTTTGAAATGCACCTGCTTGATTGTCCCCCCGCCTCACCCCTTGACTCTCTCGCACCCCGACCTTGGCTCCCCTTTAGAAACACAAAAGCTAGCACAAAGTCGCGCCCCGCTCAACGCCAGCGACAAGCTGCTCAACAATCCCGGTTCGCCAACCTGCTTCGACCCGGCTCCTATCCCTCACCCCCGTGCTGGCTGGCCCCCGCCCTAAAAGACGAATCCTAACGCGCATTCCTCTGCATCCCACCCAGCCATGGCCAAGACCCTGCACCGGCGCACAAGTCGGGCCCCACCCCCGCCCGTGCTTCGCCGTCCCAGACCGATGGCCCCAATGTCCTCTCCGGTCTTTTGCAACAGGTTCGCCATCTCCCAGCCAAAGCTTATTGCCCCTTTTCTCCCTCTCTGCCTGTTCCTTTTTCTTGATCGGGTTGTTGGCCCGCCCTCCGTTGCCTCGACGTTCGCCTGCACTTGGACAAACCAGGATTGTGCCCAGCTCATTCCTTTTTCTGGGCTTCCCTTCTCCCTCCGCTTTGTCCGTTGCCTCCTCCCTTCTTCCCTATTCCCTCTTAATTTCAATCCAGGTGTCAGAGGACCGACGCGCCCGCCCCCTGCCGCGTCATGCCGATCCCCGTGCCCAAGAGGAGGCGCAACTACCATACACGGATGGCAGCGCACCCCCCGGTCTTGACGCCGAAATAATTCACGCCCAACAGGCCCGGCAGCAACAAATAGAAGCCCTTCGTGCCCAATATGCAGCACTCATGGCTCAGCAGGACCACGGGCCCCCATCAGATCTGCCCTATGCCACGAGTCATGCCCAGGCACCGCAGGCCCCGTTTCGCCCCGACACCAGCGGACCCATGGGCGCATCCTATGGATCACCTCCCCCACGCCACGTGCAGCAATACCCCTCCCCCGCTGCTCGAACCCGCCCACCCCATCACGTTGGCAGTGTGCACCACACTGGCTCTCGCCCCCAATCCGCCATGTCCATGCGCTCCGAGGAGCGCGTGCCTCTACCTTCCATTGCAACCTCCCACGCCCATCCCCCGCAGCAGGGCCTATCCGAAAGTCACCTTCCCCCTTGGCTGCGCGATGCCAACGTTCCGGCGGCCGATGCCACCAGCCCCATTCGCCGACATGGCGCCCCACCAGCAGCCCATGCTCCCCAACAACGCATAACAGTGGTCGATAGCGATGCCCAACAAGCCCGCCGAGCCAAGCAAGAGCAGCTTCGTGCCGATCTCGCCCAGCAAATTGCTGACAAGCAGCGAAAACTGGAACAGGAACGGTCGGATTTGCAACGATCCGGCCACTTTCAACGCGGTGGCAACCCGCTCGACGAGGCCTGGGGTGCCATCCCCAGTCGCCGATCCATCTCCATGCCCGATGACCACGGCAGCGTGCACGCCATGAACGGCGCGCATGCACCCGCCTATCACCAGCAGTCGGGTCCTCAAGGCTACCCTCAGGCTTCTCATCCCTTCGACAACCCCGCCCATCAACACAACCCATATGCGAGCTCCTCGCACCCGCCACAGCCCCAAAGCCCGCCCTCACACGGGACGCATCAGCACTACCAGTCGCATGGCCCCGCGGCTGGACCCCCAGCCCTCACCCGTCACGGATCCCGCGGCGCGGTGGGTGGCCCGGCACATGTGGATATTGCCGCACTTAGCAAGGCTGGAATGATGTCCATGGCCGCCAATGCCGACCAAGATGCCAAACAATTTGAGCAGGAGCGACGCAAACAGGCTCTGATGCAGCATCAAGCTGATATCCGGCGCCAAATTGAAGCCAAAGAGGAAGCCAAGCGACAAGAGCGTGAAAATGCCGCTCGCCTTGAGCGCGAGGAAAACGAGCGACTGGCTCGGGAACAAGCTGCTCTGCAGCAACGGTACGAAGCCGAGCAGCGCGCAGCCGCTGACAAGGAGCGGGCCAAGGAGGAACAGGCCCGGGCCATGGAAGCTGCCATCGCTGAATCGCGGAGACGCGCTGACGAAGAACGCGAGGAAGCGCGTCGCCTCCGCCAAGCACAAGCGCAGGCTGAACGTGAGGCTGAGGAACAACGCCGTCAGCAAGCGGAACTCGAGGCCGAGGTGCAGCGTCACCAACAGGCTGAACGTGAGGCCGAGGAGCAGCGCCGTCGTCAAGCGTCGCGGCCTTCGTCTCAGCAGCCGACTGAAGCCTTTCCTCAGCCGCAACCTCCAGCCACACCTCCACACTCCCGCCGCCATGCCCGCCGCGCCAACCACACCCTGGTGGCCCAAGAGCGAGGACCATCTCCTCCCACCACCGTTGGCTCGGGAGCCGAGCTGAGCAGGCTCGACGATGATGAGGCAGATGTTGTCCTCACCCAGGCTTCGCCCCCTCGGCCTTGGTCTCCACCAATTCCTACCCTGGCTGCCCAGCCGCCGTCGCCCCCGGTGCCAGCTATTGCCAAGCAAACTGAGCTCAAGCGCGAGCTTCAGCCTCAACCTCGACCTCAAGCCCCAAGCACTTCTGTCCCCGCCCAAAAGATTCGTGAGGCCCCTCCGGTGACCAAAAGCCTGGCTCCAGCTCCAGATCACGCCCCCATGAGCGCTCCAGCTTCAGTGCCAGTTGACCCGCGCATTTGGGAGGCCTGTACAGCGCTGCGAACGTGCCTGAAGGAAAAGCAGCGTGATATCGCTGGGGCCATCTCCACATGCCGGGTCTATCTTGAATCGCGAGGAGAAGCGCACGCGGTGGCCGAGCTTGCGCGCTCGCAGGTAGCAGCCGTTCTCACTACGTCGTCTGAGGCCTAAGCTTGAACCAAAGTGCCAGAGAATGCAAGTGTCCACGACCCACGCCGCTGAGCGGCCCACATGGCAATTGATTTTGGTTTTTTTTTTTTTTTTCCCCCTTTATTTTCATTGTTTTCATGCTGTGCCTGGATGTGCACCTCTCTGGACCCATGCCGACATGCGCTGAGAAACTGACAAAGTGATGCAAATCGTGTAATTACGGCAATGAGCTCTTCGGACCTTCTGATCGCGCTCCTACCTTTTCAAGGACGTGCGCTGTTTATGTAAGCCGGACCAAGAAAGTACACATCTGAAAGACGGCCGCAAGGAAAACGTCATGTCATGTTTCAATTTCTCTTTCGGTTCAAGTCGGTCTGGGGCAGGAGCCAGCCTTGAGGAGCTCAAGTTCGCTGACTGTCCTACCAATACAGAGAAGGTATACACGCACGCACTTGCGCCCACACATTCACATGCCGGGAAACAACACGCACACACACGCAGGCTCTAGACAGCCAGCCACACTCGGCCTTTCATACAATCGCCTAATAGGGCCTACACAGAGAACACGTCCTATGGCCCGGCCAAACTCTTGTTCAAGCAGCCTCCTCAAGACCGCTTCATACCGGGGCAACAACATCAACGCACACATCACAAGCTCGCCAGCCATCAAAAAAAGAAAAAAACTCCTGCACAGCAAGAAAACGGCACGGCTACTCCAAGAGCAGAGCCTTGCCAGTGAGGCCACGCCAAATATGGCAACATCCTTTCATATCGACATCGGCACCGCTTGAGAGGCAGAACTGCAGTCAGTCATCGGGACGAGGTGACAGAAGCTGTCACCCTTGGTGCAAGGGGCCCAGAGGGAAAGGATGCGGAAAGAGATGGCTGGAATTCTGAGCACACCTCAATGGACAGCGCATGACTTGCTGCATCAGCGTGACAGGTCCGGCTGATAAACCTCGCCTTTGTGCAAACAAAAGTCTCCCTCGGTCCAGCGCATGCGAACGCGGATCTCACGATCGTCCAGATCGACGAGCGTGGCTTCCCGCAACAGAGCGTTGGGAAAGGCGGCGCGGACGACAAACCCTTGCGCAGAGAGATGCTGATACATGCCCTCGAGAGGAGCGGCCGAGGAGGACTGATCGTGGAAACGCTGCAGATTGGCAACCACTTCGTCAAAGGTGGCGCGGTGATAGATGGCACCAAACGCTCCCTTGGTTCCGCTCAAGACGTTGTAGCACATGGCATCGTTTGCCGTGCTGTCCTTGACAGCGTACGCGTCTTTTTGATCAGCCTCAATGAGCGCAAGCTCGTCCATGCTGACGGGGTCGGCACCCAGGACCAGGACACCACCACGCTCCGCGGTAAACAGATGCTGGCCGCAGCGGCGGCTCCGGAGCAGAGCCGTGAGGTGCTTGCGAAAGTCACAACGCAGGAGGACCGAATCTTCGAGGACAAGCACGTGCTGGTCTCCCCGCATGCGCGCTTGAGCAAAGAGGTTGGCCAGGGCACGGTTGTAGGCAGCGGCGTTGCCGGTGAGGTGCACGGGCTCGGCCGTGATGCCGTGGTCCTTGAGGCTCATGACCAGGTCCTGATACCGGGATTGGGAAGGATCGGCCGTGAGCACAAAGGCCCGTGAGGGGGGCAGTAGCTCACTGGCCGGCACGTCCGCCACCACGGCAGGGCACTCGGCGAGGCGATAGCGGTAGAGTTGTTTTTGAAGGACTGCGTTGTGCACGCAGGTGGCACGAAGTTCACCGATGGCAGAGCGATACGAGGCCGGATCAGAGTCATGGGAGTTGATGGGTGGCTGTACGGGGCGCAGATAGGTGCGCTGCTGGTGATGAAAGCGCACAAAGTCCTCCGCGCGCTTCAGGGGGTGGACGACGACCGAGCTGAAATGCACGGCCTTGGGCTGCTGGAAAAACTCGAGGCGCATTTGCCCGCTCTTGAAGAGCTTCATGGGATAAACCTTGGTGTCATCTTGCTGGTAGTAGACCTGCTTGAATTGGAAGCTGGAGGGGAGGTCCTGACATTCGGTTCCCGGCATGTGACCAAAGATGCAGCGGCCAATCTCGGTGTCCGAGTGATTGGAGCGCACGTCGGCCAGGCAGTCATCGCCGTAGCGGGTGAGCGTCTCCAAGATGGGGGCGTTGACAATGTAGCCAAGGCCTAGGCAGTATTTGTGGCCGTCAAGACCAAGCTGTTGGCGTTCTTCCTTGCGACCGGCAGCCGGTACGCCCATGTAGGTAGCGTGACTGGCCAGGTCCAGGTCGGTGCTGATGAGGGCGACCATTGCACTCATACGGTCCACGTTGATGTAGGCGTCGTGATCCAGCTTCATGAACCACTGATACCGGTGGGCCATATGCGTATACATGTAGCGCCAGAGGAGGAACACCTTGCGCTGCGGGGGATAGGTATCGGGAGTGTTGAGGCAAACCAGACGGCCGTTGAAATTGGTGCTAATGTTGATGGCACAGCTTCCCACGAAAAAGATGACCTGTGGGCATGGGTAGGCGCGTGGAGGTGACACGTGAGCAGAGAGCAAAGTTGAGTAAAGAGGGCGAGCAAAGCGAGACGGGGACGTACGTTGATGCGAGAGCTTTCGATATCACTAGCCCACGTGTCGTGGACGGCCTGGGCGATGGTGTCGAGGGAGGAGGGGTCGGTCAAAACTCCAATCAAGAGCCGACCCGCTGCACAGGAGTACACATGCGGCGCAATGAACGTGAGTGTTGGAGAAAAACGGCGTTCTGCTCGACAAAGGAGCTGGGAGGCGATGCCACGCAGAGGCGCAACAAGCCGGTGCTTCAGAGCTGGACATCAGACCTGGAGAGACCGGGGCGGCGATATCGTCGGGAATGCGGTCGTAGAGCACAGGTCGCGTAATCAGGTCGGGAGCATTGAACATGTCTTCAGCAACTTGATCATCATGGTCATTGTGCTCACTGCGAACAACGCTAATCAAGGAAAAAGACAATCGCAAGGCGATGAGCTGGCTGCGGACCCAGACAGAGGGCTGAGCGGAAGAGAGGGGAAAAGTCATGTGTGGCTCGAATCAGGCTGCGCGGGGACGGGGGCATACTCGTCATGGGAGCGGAGGGCTTGGATTGTCGGGTTGACGGGTCGAAGGAGCGAATTTGGGGCAGAGAGAAAGACAAAGCCGAGAACGGTGAGGAGGAGGGTGGCCAGGACTATCATGTAGCCGTTGGGGTTACGCATGATGGCGGTGGACCAGGTGTGGCGATGGTGGGATGGTCCGTCAAGATGGAGAGGAAGGTCAGCGCGTCGAGGCGAGGGGCGGGAGAGAGGAGGCTGGTCCCCCGTTGATGAATCAAAGAGCCGATGTTTCATGGAGGAGGAGGACGCCGAAGAGGCCGAGGCGGGCAGGGAGGAGACGGATGTGGGAATGTCGACGGCGGCAGGGCTGCTTGTGCGAGCCGCGAGACCGAGTCCCATGCGCCTCCAAAAGTTGGTCTTGGTCATGAACGGGCACACGGTCGAGGCTTATCCGAGCACTCGAGGACAAATGCCCAATCAAGGGCCAAGACGACCGCTTGACGGGCTCGGCGACGCCGCGCTGCCAGACACCGAGGGAGCGGCACAAGGCGAGCGCGAGGAAAAGGACGTGGAGCGGTAAAGCCGCTCACGGCACAATGGCCCGCCGCCGCACGCCGGGCCGAGGCCTTCAGAGCGCGCGCGCGAGCCCGAGCGAGTGACCGAAACTGCCCGCGCGCACACACACACACACACACACACACACACACACACACACACACACGCGAAGAGCGCGCGCGCGCGCGAGAGAGAGAGAGAGAGAGAGAGAGAGAGAGAGAGAGAGAGAGAGAGAGAGAGAGAGAGAGAGAGAGAGAGAGAGAGAGAGAGAGAGAGAGAGAGAAGGGGACAGTCGAGCCGTCGTTGTGACCGGGCGTAGGTGGGGGGGTAGAATAGACCACAACGACAAGGCCTAAGGCAAGGGTCTAGGGGAGCCGATACACGGCGATGGCAGTGCTGCAGTGGCCCGAAGCGCTGAGAACAAGCCAGCAGGGATCCGCGCAGCACAGCACAGCACACGGCCCGTCGGCGCAGTCGAGAGAGCAGCAAATGCCACAAGACAGAGAGACAGACAGACAGACAGACAGAGAGAGAGAGAGAGACAGAGAGACAGACAGACAGAGAGAGAGACTTAGAGAGACACAGAGACACAAGAGACACAGAGAGACACAGAGAGACAGAGAGACAGAGACAGAGACAGAGAGAGAGACAGAGATAGAGACAGAGAGACAGACAGAGACAGAGACAGAGACAGAGACAGAGACAGAGACAGAGACAGAGACAGAGACAGAGACAAAAAACAGAGACAGAGACAGAGAGTGGCACGGTGTGTGCCGAGAGAGATGGTAAGGGTCAGGGTGGAGGTGGGAGAGATAGGGGGAGGGAGGTTTGAGCCTTGAGAGAGGAAGGCAGAAGGTGGTGGAAAATAAGAGAAAGGATGAAACCAGGGTTTGGGCATGACAATAAAATCAAGGCAATAACGGAGAAAGAGCACGTTGTGAAAACATATTCAGAGATGGAGACAAAACTCCTTCGTTCATCAGAGGAGTAACGAAAAGCAGATAGACAACCAGAGAAAGCGTCAACAAAATCAAACTCGTCAGGGAGATCAACTTTGTATAGGGAAATCAGAGATGATGACAAGGCAGACGACGCATGGACACGTTGACACTCTTTGGTTTGTTCGTTGGTGATCCTCAGGTACCGCTCACTCTCTCAAAATGTCTCCCTCTCAACCTCTCCCTCTCTCAAACGCCCGCTTTCCGTCTCAAACTCTACCAATCCCTTTAATATTCCTCTCAAACTCACACAGGATCTCGCCATCCCTCTTAAACGCTCTCGCTCTCAATGCATCCCTCTGAACTTTTCTCTCCCACTCGCTCTCTCTCTCTTTTTGTTTGTTCGTGAGAGGGGGTGACGATCAGTTGTTGAGAGAGCGTGGTTTTGTTTGCGACATTTGCAGAGATGACGTGTTCGTCCTAGCCTTTCCGACAACTTAAACCAAGTTAAACCGGTAATGTCCCAGAGAGTAAGCGGCACCCAAGCCACTAGACCAGAGATACCATCCCCACATGCCGTGGATACCAGAGCGGACATCACCAGGCGATCAGGACGCGCACAGCGACTCTGTGCCTGCATGCGCGAGGAGGAGCCTTCCAAAGGTCATACCGGCGTCACTGGAAGTTTTGCACAGCCGCGATGCCTAGGCAACACTACCCCAAAAAGCTTCCAGCGCCCGCCCAGAGTGCCATGTTGTTGAAGTGAAAAAATAAAAAAAATTCCTTGAAGACCAAAGGGGGCGGGACCCTACCGTTACATCTAGCTATGGAAGGATCAACCGAGACCATTGCCACCTCGACCATCGTTCCCCTGTTTGCGCCGTGGCCCACGGCGCCTGTGACCATGGTGGGAAGCACTGGTTCTCCCACTGCCATTGGGACTGAGAGTCTCGGAACCGAATCTGAATAAACCGCCTGAAACCCCTGTTTCCAAGGACGGCCGCCCCAACTATGGGAAAACAACCCTCGCCCTCCACTCCACCAGGCCACCAGCTCCCAAGTACCAAATGACCCATCAACCCCGCCCCGGCCCCCATAAAAACGTCCTCGAAATGTCGTTCTGTTTTCGCCCCGCTCCGCGCCACCTCATCCGCCAACAAACAACTGTGGCGCCTCTGTTCTGGTTTGCCCTGTCGCCTGCCAAAACCAGGATTGATGTCACCGACCAACCCGCTGCCAACTGTTGCCCTTGGCTTTGCCTTTTTTTCTTCTTCTTCTTCTATTTTGACGTGTTCATCAGCTCAGGTATCCATTCGCAAGTGGTTGACATGTGACACATCCATACGATCCAAAACGGGGTTGGTTCCTCCAACGCAACACAAAACCCCACAACACGTGAAACGAAAGAAAAAGGACATGAACAAAAAAAAAGAAACAACGCCAAACCCTTCGTGGCAATGCAATGACAAAATCAGTTGACGGCTTCGGGATAACGGCTCAAATCCACCGCCAATGTGCGGCTGCATTCCTCCTCCGGCTCGCGATAAATGCCCACCAAACTCTCCGATTGGCTGAAAAAGGTGTCCTGCGCCCCGCGTGAACAACAAGAACCACAAAATGTCAAAAAAAAAAAAAAAAAACAGCCCACACAACCCCCAGCCCGCTCAACCCCCAGCCCGCGCCGACAGTGTTGCCTCTTGGGCATCGCCGGTGGATGACGTACCTTGAGGGAAATAACGATGCACTGGAAGCCTGTGCCAGATCGCTTACGCATGTACCGCGCGATTTTGTTCACGTTGGCGTTATCCAAAGCCGCATCCACCTCATCCAAAACAAAGAAGGGCGCTGGCTTGAAGCTGTGTGTACCCAGAAAACAATAAAATAAACTGTGAAAATAACTTCCAAATGCGACATCACAGGCAAACGGTGGGCTGGTAAACAGACCTGTGAATTGCAAACAGCAACGCCAAGGCAGCTACCGTCTTTTCGCCACCAGACAATTGTTCCATGTCCCGGAAGCGCTTGGAGGGAGGCATGGCGCTATACTTGATGCCAGCATTGTATGGCTCCTACAGAAGCAGAAGCGGACGATGCACATCAGACAACCAAGGCTGATCGGCAGTAACCGGCCAATACCACAACCCAGCTCAAGACAAAGACAAACCATCCATCTGCGAAACGCACCTCGGTATCCTCCAACGTCAGGTATGCCGTGCCTCCCACTGGAGCCTTGGGCCCCCGCGTCAGCTCCTGACCATGTCACACACCAGCCAGCTAGTGAGCACGTCCTCGAGACACACGCCCATTCGTGTTGACCAGGCAAAGACCAGACTCAGGTTTGAACTGACCTTGTAAATGCCATCAATGCGCTTGGAAATCTGCTCATATGCCTCCATAAAGCGTTCGCGGCGAAGCCGCTTCAGGCGCTCAAACTCGGCGTTGGCCTGTTCCGTGCGCTTTTGTGACGTGGCAAATTGATCCGAGCTCTCCTTCAACTTTTCCTTGGCCGCCTCGAGGCGCTCCAAAGCCTTGCCGTTGGGCGCAATCGTCTCCATCTCGGACTGGATATCATGGAGCCGCCGTTGGAAATGCTGAAGCATTTGCTCACGATCCTCCTCTGTCTCCGTCTCCCGCAGATCCTGCATTGAACAGCCAGCATCGACCGAGGCCAAGCGTGAGTCAATGGCAGCTCATACACACAGCCCAAAAACGTGTCAACAAGATAAAGCGCACATCATCTAAACCACGATAATCCAGCTGAATCGTGGCCTCTCGTTCAAAGATGCGCTGAGCATTGTCCGTATCCATGCTGCCCACATCCATGGCGCTCATGTTTGACGTGTTGATCGAAACAGACGGGCCTCCAGTCACAACTTCCTCGCTGACATCCGATAGCGAGCCCTGCCGCAGTGGTAGCTCCACGTCCTCGACCTGGAAACAGGTTTGGTTTGTTTTCCAACGGACCAAGAGAGCGCGTTTCAAGTGAGCATACCAGCAGTCAGAAAGTCCATATCTGTCAACAACATTGCCTCAACGTTTGATCGAGAAAACAGAGGCACACAGCACGGAATCCGAGGGCCGACCTTGGCTCTCTTGAGCAATGCGTGTCGGTTATACGAACAACGCTCCACACCACTCAGCGCGGCCCGCAACTCCTGCAAGGTCAACAATGATGCATGGCAGAACACAGACATGAGAGCAGCAACAGCACATCACTTCCAGAAAAGTTGAGGTTGGCGTGTGCCAAGAGGTGATCAAGCGTCTTCCAACGTGCAAAGCCCAAGAGCCGACCAGAGAAACATCAGTCACATGGTTACAACAAAGAACCAAGGGCGGGGGTGTTCGCGTACCCGCTGGGCTGCGTTCAGGTTGCCCACCACCTCGCTCATTTGAGCCTTGTACTCGTTCAAGGCAACCTCGGCGTCGGCAAGCTCCTGCTGTCGCTGACGCTCAATGGCACGCAAGCGGTCCAGCCCCGCACTCTCCTCGGTCAGCTGATCTGAAAGCTCACGCTCTAGCGCCTGTGCCTTCTGCAGCCTCTCGGTCAGTTGCTCCAGCTGTTCTTCTTGACGCTTGACGTCCTTGGCCGGGTCAGCCTGCCGCTGTAGCTCGAGTTGTGCGCGCAAGCTCGCAATGTGCTTGGTAAAGTCGGCACGGCGTTGCGCTCGTGCCTCCACGCGCTGCAAGCGATCTGCTTCGTACTCGCGAATATTGGCCACGCCAATCGAGGCGCAAAAGGCAGCAAAAAGCTCGTCGACGATCCTGTTTGCCAAGTTAGATTCGTTGCGCTGAGTGAGTCTTGGCGCACAGCGTGGTCAAAACAAGTGCACAACGGGTGTCTTACGCTTCATATTGCTGCTCGGCGCGGTTCAGCTGCTCCTGTGCACGGGCCGCTTCAGCCTCGGCTGCTGCCAGACGAGGGCCCACGGCCGCGACCCGTTCCTCTGCCATCACTAATTCAGCCTGTTTTTGCTGCAAGCTCACCTGCGCAATTATTTTCCCGCAGGCGCAACATGACACACGTGAGGAATAAGGGGTTACCAAGGCAGCAGAACGTGTGCAGAACCAGAAGCAACCCAGCGGCGCCTTTTCAACACGTCCGCGTCGTGCGCCGCCTCAACGTGGGCCAAAACACCGTGTACCAACCTGAGAGGTACTGCGATCCGATTCGAGCTGCATGCACATGGCTTCGAGACCACGAATGCTCGAGTCCAACTCGGTCACCTCGTGTTGGCGATTCTTGCGCCGACTCAGATCATGCACCTGTACAGGCATAGCGTGCATGGAAGGCATGACAAAAGCAGCTCAATCAGAGCACAGGCACACGTCAAGGGAGGATCTTGACAGTGACATCATACCTTGCGGCGTAACTGGTCAAACTCCTCTCGAACAGCCACAAGCTTTTGCTCATCCCAGCGCTTAGCCTTGCCAGCCACGGCACTTTGACCACCCTCAATGGGACCCGAGGACCGAATCAACGTGCCAGAGAGCGTGATGGCCTGCACAAGTCGCCCGACACAAAAGCCAAAACACAGAATGGAACAAAACCAAAAAGCGCCAGTCAGTTTGGCATGTATATGTTTCAGAAAAGACAACAAGAAAAACGGTATGACCACGCAGAGCCACACTCGCCCGCGCGCACCTTTGTGACGAAATCCGTTTCATAGCACAAACGTTTGGCCTCCTCTTCATTTTGGCACACAACCGAGTTGCCACAGGCGAACAGAACAGCCTTTTCAATCTCTGGAGCATACTTGAGTACGTCCACGACCAAACTGGTGCCGTTCCCCAACGTCCTATATGAAGCAAAGTCGGAAGGCAAAAGGCAAAAAGGAAGAATGAGAGCGAGCGCGCCGGTAAGCCATGGCACATGCGCGCACACATACCTGAGGCGCTCGTTGATGGGCTTGGTGCGAATGGACTGCAGTGGGATAAAGGTACCCACGCCGGCGCGGCGTTCCCGCAAAAACTGGATGCACTCGATGGCCGTCTCCTCGTTGTCCACAACGACGGCGTCCATGTTTTTGCCCATGATCACGGTGATGGCCACGTTGTATCGTCGGTGGCGCGGCTCGCACAGTTCCACAAGCTTTCCAAACACCCGGCCCTAAACCCGCCAAATTGCAGGTCCCACGCAGTTGTCCACAAAGTGAGGGTGGCACAAGCAACGCAAGCAAATGGCACGGACGTGAGAGTTGGCATACAAGAGCGTGAAAAAAAAAGGGACGAGAAGCCAAAAAGAGAAGTCGAGGCACCCGATCAAGACGAACAAACCTCGTGATGGCGCTTGAGATCCGCAATGGCGTTGTCAAATTGGCGGGCGCGATTCGATTCACTGGTTGCGCTGCGAGCTTCCTGCAAGATATTTTGCACCTCGGCCAGCCGAGCCGAGGCCTCGTTGCGCTCGGTATCCAGCTGCGCTTGCTCCTCCTGCAGCTTGGTCAAAGCATGACGTTTCTGTGGCAACGATTTGCACAAGTGAGAGATACCTGGCAAGCAAGTTGGCATAATTTGTGCCCCGTGAAAGATCAAACCTCATTGGCCTGTGCGCGTTGACGCTCGAGGGCCTCGGCAACTTTACGCGTGCGCAGTTCCAGCTTCTCACTATAAGAATGTAAAGAACAAGCCGACAGGGGATGAAGCAGCAGTGGCCCAATGAGGTCACCGTCAGAAAGGAGCGTGCTGCGCGTGGGCATCGAGTGCCGCACCTGTCCTGCTGAAGCTGCTGTTTGCGAGCCTCAAGCTCATCGCGCTCAGCACGGATTCGCTGGCATTTAGCTTGGCACATTTCAATTTCGCGGCGACAGCGATCCACGTTGGACTTTTGAAGGCCACCTCGCTTGGCCACCTCTTCCTTGAGGCGCTGATACTCGGCCATCTATATCGGTATCGGTCGGGGTAAGAGGGTGTTTAGTCCACCGGCGGCCCGAAACGAAGGAAAAACGCAAAGCACAAGGTCAAGAGCCCGCAAATTGGTATGCTGGTATGCTGGTATGCAAGTTCTGGGAACCGACCTGATTTTCCTCAAGCTGAATCTCGTCCTGTTGCGATTCGCCCCGAATGCTATCCTCAAACTGTTTGGCGTTGCGCTCAATGGTGTGCAGCTCGGCCTCCAGCTCCTGGATTTCTTCATCGTATTGTTGCAGTTTCTGCCGAATGGGGTGACAAGACCGAGCTTGGAGGGTGAGATCAAACGCAGCTGGATGTAGCGAGGGAAACGCAGAGCAACTCTTGCCACAAACGAACCTGTTTTGTGCTGGCAAGTGTCTTTTCAGCGGCTTGTAGACGACGCTCGGCGTGCTTGACCTCTTCCTTGGCCTTGAGAAACTCGGGTTTAAGCTCGTTGGTTTTGTCCTCTTGCTTTTTGGCCTTTTTAGCTGCCAGGGCTCTGGCTTGCTTGGCTTTGGCCACCTGTGAGAAACAACAGTTTGAGTGACTCGCCATGCCAAGAATATAAACGTGACTCGGAGAAATTCAGGACAACGCAGCACTTGGAAACACCCAGCACTTGGAAAACACCCAGCACTTGGAAAACACCCAGCACTTGGAAAACACCCAGCAAGATCCTACCGCCTTTTTGTTATTCTTCGCCAAGTCTTCCACGGTCGCGCGGCGCTGGATGAGCTTGTCACAGTCGAGCTGTTTGCTTTCCACGCTTGCGCGCGCCTGCTCGAGGTCTGCCAAGAGCAGGCGGACAAATCTCAATTTTGAGCACAGAACAAAGGTCGATCGTCTCCATTGGACGGTGATGCAGACTGTACGGTCACGCAGGCAATCGACACGAAACAAAAAAAATGCAAAATTTCGCAAATGCACCCACCTCGCTCGCAGTGGTAGAGCTGCCACACAAGCTGGTCCTCCTCGACGTGTTTCTTCTCTTCCTCCAGAGCGTTGAAGCGGTCGGCCTCCTCCTTTTGTGCCTTGTACTGCTTCTTCTCCTTGTTCAAACCCTGGGTGCAGAAAGCAGACGCCGGCAAAATTTGAGCATTGCAAACTCCTAAGAGACCTGGTCGGGCGAGATGAATACACATACGCGTTTCTTCTGGCCAATGAGCTGGTGATCGGCGTTGGCACGCTCGCGCTCGCGCTGAGCTGCGTGGTATTCCTCGGCGAGCTCGTCCGAGCCGGAGATTTGCTCAAACATTTGGGTCAGCTGCTTGGCATCGCGAGCAGCCACACTTTCAACATCACCCTGCGTCCAAATCAAAATTCAAGACTGTGAGGGTTGCGCAGCTGCATTGGAATGGCGGAACGGCTGAAGAGGCGGAACGGCTGAAGAGGCAAAAGGGAGGGACACTCTTACCTGGAAGACGAGAAAATTACGAGCCTTGACCAAGAGGCCAAACTCGCGAAGCTGACTGTCATATTCATCCCAAGATACGTTTTTGCCATCAATAGCATATTTTGAGGCGGAGCCAGAGATCCTGGCACCCAGAAAACGCGAGAGAGGGTCGACCTCAAGTGAGGTCACGGGTGCGGATGTTCGCGCAAAGAGGGGGGTGGAAGGAAGGTGGAAGGAAACGGGCTGTGAACGCACGAGCGCTTCAGAACAAGCTCTTTATCTTCGTCATCATGATACTTGAAAAAGGCAGAGACTGAGGCACGCCCGGCCTCCTTCTTGGAGCGAGCGCCGTAGATCATGTCCTGAGCAGAGGTTGATCAGCAAACCGAAAAATGCATTTGTATATGAGGGACAGCCAGCAGACAGATGCAGAGAGCGATGGGCTTGAATATACCCCTCAATGGTGGAAACGGCCACACACACACACACACACACACACACACACACACACACACACACACACACACACCTTGATGGCATTACCACGCAGCTGACGGGCGCTCACGCCCAAGACGAAGCTGATGGCATCCATGAGATTGGATTTGCCTGCAGCGACAAACGTTCAGGTGGAGAATGAGAAGAAACGAGAAGATGATTGAGTGTGCTTGGCACCGAACAAGCCCCCAGTGCATTCAGTAAGAGCAGGCAGCAGTTTGTAAACGCACCCGCGCCGTTGGGGCCAATGATGGAGGTGAAGCGGGAAAACGGGCCGATGGTCTGGAGTCCCTTGTAGCTCTTGAAATTGTTGATCTCGAGACGATCGAGGTAGACGCCGGTCGAGATGGCCTCGGGCTCGGCGCCATCCTCGGCGAAAAGCTCCATGCTCGCCATGATGCTGGGCTGGTCAAGGTCGAAGTCACGAACAAGAACGACGGCCAACCGCAGTCCAGAGCAAGTAAATGCAGCTCGCGCGCATTCAGCGGCGCTAAAGGGCAAAAAAAAATTTAATGTCGAGCAAGAGGAATGGCACAGAACCGCGTGATTGCATTCATCAAAAGGGCAGCAGCCACAGGAGCTTTCAGGGCACGCCACGAGAAATGCAATCAGCAACAACAGCCCGACACCAAGCGACTGGAAACGCCTTCAAGCCCCTCAGAAGCGGCCGAATCAAACCCCAAGGTCCGGCGCGCCAACCTGCTTCTTTGCGAGTGCACAAGCACAAGCGCTCAACATCCAGAAGAAAAACGGCTCTTGACCGTTACACGTTTGCGCTTGTTTCCTTTGCGCGCTCCTCGTTTTGGCGCCAAAAACACAGCAGCCAACGTAAAGTGTAACAGGATCTACACATTGATATTCATTTGAGTCTTTGGATCTCCGAGTCTCGGTGAAGATTTGGTTACTCTGACTGCTTTCGTGGGTTCAAATGTCTTGTCGGCTTGCGTCATGGGCATGAATTGTCAGCATGGCAACTCTGCAATCAAGATCAGATATGTCAACAAGTTGGTTTTAATCCGAATTGGTTTGCTTATTGAAGTCTTGTTAATGTATTTTGTGTTGGAAGATGTCGATGATATTGGACTTTGCGCAGCTTCCAACCGAGCCATGCCACCAGCAAAACCCAGAACCGGCTCGACCTCTTGGCGAGGCGCTCGTGACATGGTCTTGCACACCGACACCTGATTGATGAGAGCAATGACCAGCCCCCCCAGTGAAGCTGGCGGCGCGGCGCTGTGAACTCGCGTCCGACCCCGATCGTGGACATGCCGGCTTGGCTTGGCTTGGCTTGCACCCCAATGTGCCATGGGCAGCAATCACTGCCAAGAGCGTTTGCACAGACACACACACACACACTCTCTCTCTCTCTCTCTCTCTCAAACTCTCTCTCTCTCTCTCTTTCTATCTCTCTCTCTTTCTCTCTCTCGCGCGCGTTTCCAGTCTCTTGCGCATTTTTTCTTCCTTGCGTACCCGGCAAACAGCATCAAACCTCCAGTCGCCACTGATCCTCTCACTGCTCCCTGCCACTGATCTCTCTCTCTCTCTCTCACTTGGGTAAGGCGGGGCTCTGCCGTCTTGGTTGTTGTGAGCTTGATTAAGACTGCATTAACCTCAATTGACCACTGGTCGTTTAGATTTCAACACCACTGACCGCCATCATGTCGCTGCCCGAGGCTCAAACCGAAGAGTACAATGCCTTCTTTGCCAACAAGTCCCTGTCGGACTTGCCGGCCGTTGACAAGGTCATCACCGTCAACTCCTCCGACTCGGTTGCACAAGCCACCCGTACCCTCGGTAAGGAATTCGCCATGACCTTGACTTGGGACCTCGACCGCCTCACTGCATCACTGGTCGGCGGTTGCGTTTATTTTTTTATTTTTTTTTTCGCGCTTGCCTCTGGTAGCGGCCCACAACATTCTGAGCGCCCCGGTGCGCGACAGCGATCAGCCCGATGATGCGCCCTGGCTCGAAAAGTACATTGGCACCGCCGACGCCGTCAACCTCATGCACTGGCTCTTGCACCAGGTAGGGCCAAGGATCCCCAGCTGCTCCTGCTGGCTCGGGTTCTGCGTGGCTGCTTTGCTGACGTCATTGTCCAAACTTAGGTCCAGGACACGGACGGCATCGAAGACCTGGACATGCTCTTGCGTCACACCGCGGCTCACACCGAGATTGCCAACGTGATTGACGAGGACAAGGGTGCGTCTTATCTCCTTTCTCCCTCGACCATTCATCCACCGCACCGCGCCCGCTTGCACACGCTCTTACCTTATCCTGACCGCTGGGCCACGCAGACACGGCACGCTTCAACCCCTTTATTCCACTGGCCAAGGAGAATAACACCATGCTAGATGTCATGCTCCTGTTGGGCAAATACGCCCAGCACCGTGCCTACATTGTGGAGCCTGGTATGCTCTTGCTCCCACTCGTCCGTGTCGTGCTGTCGTGGCCACTCGACTGACTGGCTGGCTGGCTGGCTGCTGGCTCTCGTAGGATCCGACATCACCAACGTCGTGACCCAAACCTCCTTGCTGGAGTTTCTCCACGCCCACTTGGACGAGTTTCCCAAGCTGGTTGATTCCACCGTCGCTGACCTGCAGCTTGGCACAAAGAAAGATATTGTGAGCTGCAAGCCCACTGATACCATGCAGAGCGCCCTGCTCAAGATGCGTGACGAGGTGCGTAGGTTGATTGCTGTGCCCTTGCTCGCCGACGAACCTGCCTCCCATTTTTCGTGGATCAAGCTTGGGCCTTCCCTTGCATACAGCCTTGCGGCTTGCTAATTTCCTTGCTGATTTCCTTTCGTGCATTTCGTGTGTTCAATAGCATGTCAGCGCACTGCCCTTCGTGGACAAGGCCAACAAGGTGTTGGGCGTTGTTTCGTCTCGTGACACGCGGTTGCTGATTCGCCAGCCTACACGTCTGCGCTTCTTGAACCAACCTCTTGAACTTTTCAACGACCTCCACGTCGCCCCCTTTGATGCTGAGGTGAGCGTGGCCCAGCCTGTCTGTCTTGCCTGCGTGCCCCTCTTGACGCCCCATAAGGTCAACAGCAAAGGCTGGCGTGAATGCTATCTGACGTGCTGCTTGTTACGTGTGTATGTAATTGGCTATATGGGTGGCAGGTCGTATGCTGCACGTCATCGGATACGCTGCGCTCGGTGATTGAAAAGCTCAGGAAGAACCGTGTTCACCGAGTCTTTGTCGTTGACGACGACAACGTCTTGCAGAGCGTCATTGCGCTGCGTGACGTCATTGCACAGTTTGTCAAGGAGCCCGCCGACAGCAAGATTGAGGCGTACTTTGTGCAGCGCAGCGCGGCTGCCTTGTAACAGCTTTTACTTGCCCTTGTTATAGTTACCCATTGATGTTCAATATTGTTTGTTGCCTTGCTCACTGCCCAACGATCGCCAGCTGGCGTTGGGCCACACCCATGCATACTCGCGTGACAATCTCTCCAATCAATCCAGTGTGACTGTCCCATGGCTCGTGGTACTCAAAGGACCTTGACTGATCAAGCCATCTCTCAACTAGAGCACATCAAATCACGTCGATAGTCTAATAAGCAGCGGAAAAAATTAGACCAGGTCTAACTGCACCATATCGCTCGTCGATGAAAGAGATGTATGAAGCCAAATTGAAGTATCACATCAAGCGATTCGTCCTGACACGTTCATCGACAAAGCACTTCTTTCCCTCCATCACCTTTAAGGGACCTGAAACAGTCTCCGTGAGGTCCTGTCGACCATGTGGTGCCCATTGAACAGAAATCTAAATCCTTGACTTCGTAATTAACGTTCCTTTCTTCCGCATCCGATTGATGCTGATCGCGACAAATGAAAGAAGTAAAAGCACCTTTGACCAGGCAGATAGGGTCAGCAATAGCAACTTTGGAGTGAAGTTCAAGTGTCTGTCAGTCACTGAAAGCCATGATATCAATTCTACTGCCTACTCTTCATGGTGATTCAAGAGCGATACGTCGTCGATTGTACGACGTGTGAAAAAGGAGGCGTACAAGGCGCGGAGACGGTCTCAAGAGTATAAGGTTTAGGGCGAATTGAAGCGAGTTTTCCAGTTCCACTGGCCATCGTTCCGGTACCAGGCAATCTTGTCGTCATCGCGGCTGGCGCTGAGGACGTCGAGGTGGCCGTCGCCGTTCAGGTCTGCCGCATACACCCAGCGGGCACCGTGGGCGGTGGTGGAGACGACATTCTCCGTGGAAAAGGTGCCGCCGCCATTATTCCGGTACCACGCAATTTTGTCGTCGTTGAGGCTGGCGCTGAGGACGTCGAGATCACCGTCGCCGTCCAGATCGGCCGCATACACCGAGAAGGCGCCGTCAGCGGCAGTGGAGATGGCGATCTGGGTGGAAAAGGTGCCATCACCGTTGTTCCGGTACCACGCGATTTTGTTGTCATTGCTGCTGGCGCTGAGGACGTCGAGATCACCGTCGCCGTCCAGATCGGCCGCATACACCGAGCGGGCACTGTCGGCGGCGGTGGAGATGATGATCTGGGTGGAAAAAGTGCCGTCGCCGTTGTTCCGGTACCACGCGATTTTGTCGTCATCCATGCTGGCGCTGAGGACGTCGAGATCACCGTCGCCGTCCAGATCGGCCGCATACACCGAGTGTGCGCCGTTGGCAGCGGTGGAGATGACGATCTGGGCGGAAAAGGTGCCGTCGCCGTTGTTCCGGTACCACGCAATCTTGTTGTCATTGACGCTGGCACTGAGGACGTCAGGATCCCCATCGCCGTCCAGATCTGCCGCATACACCGAGCGGGCGTGGTCAGCAGCGGTGGAGATGACGATCTGGGCGGAAAAGGTGCCGTCGTCGTTGTTCCGGTACCAAGCAATCTTGTCGTCGTAGAGGCTGGCGCTGAGAACGTCAAAATCGCCGTCGCCGTCCAAATCTACCGCATACACTGAGTAAACATTATCAGCGGCGGTGGAGATGATGATCTGGGCGGAAAAGGTGCCGTCGCCGTTATTCCGGTACCACGCAATCTTGTCGTCGAAGGGACTGGTGCTGAGGACATCCATATCACCGTCGCCGTCCAGATCTGCCGCAGACACCGAGGAGGCATAATCAGCAGCGGTGGAGATGACAAACTGCTCTGGTGCGCTCCACCACAAGCCTGGCGTTGCGTCAAACAGGAAAGCAAAAGCTGCCTCCACATTGATGCCATTGACCTCCACATCGACACCATTCACCACCACTTTCTTCGTCGAGTTGATGTACAATGTGCCGGCCTCATCCACCGCGATTGACGGCTTCTGAGAGGTCGCTGCCACCAGTACCGCGCAGAGCACCCAAACGAGAACCAGCACCTCCATGGTACAACGTCCGTTCGTCTTCAAACTCATCGAGGACACCATGACCCTCGTCCTGATTCCAATTTGACCTGGCCGTGTGCGTGCTTTTGCCCACTACTCCTTCAAAGAAATAGCAATTCGAGATCGTTGGAGATCATGTGTGTATCACTTTTCGGACTCAGGATGTTTTTCATACGAATGCAGTGATGGAATATAAAACACGAATGCAGTGAGTATACATTTGTTCGCGAATGGCGTGTAGGTCACACCTTGAAAGGGGTAATTCGTTGGATGGCGGCCGGTGTTGATTGTGGTCGAAGCCCAGCCCGCTTGAGATGGTTCGAACCGCGCAGTTCTGTTGAATCTACATGATGCCATTTTGTGAGTGTGTCTGTCCCACATCAAGATCATGTTTATAATCGGTCCAAAAGAGGGGGCACGTCGTCGATGTGTTCGCTGTTGAGGGTGATGCAGGTGCAATCGAGCCGGCGGTGCTGGCGCGGCGTTGAGTAGATCATATCTTGATGAGGCTCTTCAAGGCGCGAAAAACTCGCGGCCAGACGATCAAAGTGCGCCTTGCCTTCCAATTGGCGTCCCAAACGCGCAGTAGAGGCTGCGGCGTTGTGGTTGTCCTTGGTATCAAATTGGTAAGTGGCGTGCTTGTTGGGCTTTGTGATGGCGTCACTGTTGTATCCTCGGGTTCGACATGTGCGGATTGGTCGTTCAAGTGGTTATCGACTCCCTTCAAGCGGGCGGAAGGCAGCCTTTATCTGAGAGATTCGACTGCTTTGAAAGTGGCAGGATCAAGAGCAACACAATTCCTCGTCGAGGGTGGCGGCTTCTCCTACCAGCTGTCGTGAATGGCGCCGTTGCATGCCTGAGGCACCATCCCACTCAATACGGTCGCCATAGTAAAAAATTCAAGAAAAAGACGATTAATTCCAATGTTAATTAACTTTTAAATTCACTCCTCACCACATCAAGGTGCACATGCACAAAGGCGATGACAATTTGTAAATCTTTTGAAATTTAAATCAGATGATTAAAATTTATAAATAAATTTGATGACAACTCTCTCTCTCTCTCTCTCTCATTTTTCTTCTTCTTCTTCTTTTGGCTTTTTGGAGGAAGTCAAGGTACGTCTCTCTCTCTCTCTCTCTCTCTCGGGGTCACTGAATGGCAGCCAGGGTGGGGGATGTGATTGAGCTGGTGGTGGGCAATTGCATTTGGAACTGACATGGTTCGGGCTTGTGTTTGCACCGGTATATGTAGGTTAAGGATGGCTGGATCTTTGTGGATCAGCCTTGCCGCGGTGGCGCTTTGCGCCACTGGCGCACCCGTCACCATGACGCTGAGCGAGGATGCAGCTTGGCTGCATCAAGGCCCGGCCACGGGCTCCGAACTCGTGCCCATGATCTTTGCGGTTCGCCAGACTGGCATTGAATGGCTCGAAGCTGAACTCATGCGCGTGTCCGATCCCAAGTCCCCTTTCTACGGTTCGTGCCTTGATTGGCCTATCGCTTTCGAGAACCCCAACCAGGTCCAAGCTCTCATGTCACGTGCTCTCTTCTCCACCTTTGCCCTAGGTCAACACCACACCCTGGAATCTCTCGCCACCCGCGTTCACGGCGTTCCCGAAAGTGTCGAGTGCGTATCGTTTGCTGCACACAACGCCCCCCTTGCTTTGGCGATAAGAAACAACAACAACAACAATAACAACAACCACCCTGCTTACTTGAGCATTAAGATGCAAACACCATCCTTACACCGAGACCCTTACACTGATGCACTTGGACATCGGCATTGCATCAAACCTCCAGGTACATTGAGGGCATGCTGGCAGCCCGTGCCACCAACGTCCGCAAGCAAATGGACCACAGCTACATTTTTGCCGATATCCTGGGTTAGTTATCGACACATCCTACAACCAGACTGCGTCCTGCTCCTGCCCTGCCTCCTGATTCACCGTCGATTGCCGTCTGATCTAGCTGCGGACATGGGTCATCTGATGGAATGCCAGCCTCAACTGTACCGCCACGCCACCCAGGACCTCACCGTTGCCCGTTGCCTCCAGGTCTGCCACGCCTCTTTTAAAAAGCCGGCTCCAAGCTGATGATCGACCCTCCAGCTAACCCTGTCCTGGTGCCCGTTGTTGCGATTCTGTTTCAGGCCCCAGTTCCCGACCATTTGAGTCCCCACGTGGACTTTGTCCTCGGCCATGGTCTGCTCCCCGACCTGCAGCGTTTCGAGGCCAAGGCCTACCAACCTCTCACGGCCCCCGAGGAGGTGACCACTCCTCAGCTCATTGACAAGACCTACAAGCTGGGCAACTACACCAGCAGTGCCCGCACCAACAGCCAAGCTGTTGCATCCTTCCTTGGGTAAGTCGTGCTCCCTTACCATGGCGCCTCAAGGCCCCATCCCTTTGAGTCTTCAATGCCCTCTTGTGCTGTCTGTGGTGCTTGCCCGTCGGGTCGTGCTCATCTTGAGCCGTTGCCGGTCTTGATGATCATTCTTGTTTTCGTCGACTTTTAGCCAATACTTTCGCAAGGAGGACCTCGAGTCTTTCCAGAAGAAGTTCAACCTTCCCGTCAAACCCATCGCCAAGGTCGTCGGTGTCAACGTCGACTTTGCACCCGGCATGGAGGCCAATCTGGATGTCGAGGTGCGCTTTTGTTTTCCCAATTGCCCTTCTTTCCAATCGCGAGCCAAGCTAATGATGCACATGCTGTCCCGTGCGTAGTACATTGGCGCCACTGGCCGTGGTGTTGTGACTTGGTTCGTGTCCACCGCCCAACGTGCCAACCATGGCCAGGTGTGTTACTGCATGTCAGCCGCAACGAGGCCTCCACGCTCATGATCTCACAGTCAGCATCATTGATGTAGGAGGACTTTTTGACGTGGATGTCTGGCCAGCTCAACGACACCAAGAGTCCCTGGGTACACTCGGTCAGCTACGGTGACGTTGAGTCAAGCATTGACGACAGCTACAAGACACGCGTCAACGACGACTTTATGAAGTTTGGCGTCTCCGGCCGCACCATCCTTGTCGCTGCTGGCGACTCTGGCGTCAGCTGTACCAATGATAAATTCGCTCCCGACTGGTACGCTTGCCTTTCCTCCCGCATGTACTTCTATATCCACTAGCTTGCTTGTGTGCTGCACGACGCAGTGATTGACACATGTGCCCACCACGCACATTGCTTAGGCCCACCTCAAGCCCTTACATTACCTCTGTTGGTGGCACTTCGGGTGTTCCCGAGCGCGTCTGGTCCGACGGCGGAGGTGGTTTCAGCAACTTTTACGCCCAGCCTACTTACCAGGTACATACCAAAGCGTTCTCTTTTTGGTGTATGCGACGTGACTGGATGGTTGATGTTGCAACTTCTTTTCTAACCCCCGGTTTCTATTCCCACCCTCTTGCAGGCGGATGCTGTAAAGGCGTACATGAACAGCGGCAAGGCTCCGGCCTCTCGCTACTTCAACGCCTCAGGCCGTGCCTACCCTGATGTGTCCGCGTTTGCCACCAGTACGTTGATCAAAACGGCTGCCATCAGTGCCTCCTTCATTAATTAACCGTGCTGTGTGTGCGCGCGCTCACCTCTCTGCTTCTGGTTTTTGTTCTGCCAAGACTTTGAAATTGCCTACATGGGCTCTTTTGTGGGTGTGGATGGTACTTCGTGCGCCACCCCGACCTTTGCAGGTGTTGTTGCCCAACTTAACGACGTTCGCATCCTGGCCGGCAAGAGCCCCCTGGGTATGCCCATCGCGTTGTCAACGAGTTGCGCTGGCTCGTATCACAATCTGTGTTTGGCCCTGACTTTTTCCTAATTTTTGTGTTTTGTTTTGTTTCGAAATGACTTTCCTCCAGGCTTCTTGAACCCCCTGCTGTATCAAGCGGGTGGCTCTGACAACGGCTTCAATGACGTGATCCAAGGCTCCAACCCTGACGGTGCTTGCCCTGGCTTTGAAGCCAGCACTGGCTGGGTATGTCAACCTACCTTGCTAGCTCGCGCAGGCATCGTGCTCCTTCGCCCCACCCAGCTTGTCTCACGCATGCTGCACCCGTGTCATAGGATCCTGCCTCCGGCTGGGGCTCGCCCGACTTCAGCCAGCTGAAGCAGATTGTTGCTTAAGGCGCCCAGGTGTCATTGTGTTTTGATTGGCAGTCTCTGCTCTTTGTGCCAGCTTATTAGCACGCATGAATCCAAGCACCGTTTATACCTCACGCACAAACTTGTAGGGCTCTTGAGCATTCGGACAAAGGGTCAATTCTTGTTATTAAGAGCCCGCCAGGGGCGTGGGTCATTCAAAGCGTGCTCGGGCACTTCAGTAAGGGGGAAAAACATCAGCAAAACAGCAAGTCATTCGACTCAAAACACCACAGGTCAATCACAAGCCACAGGTCAATCAAAAGCAAGAAAGCAGGCAAGGAAAACTTGCGCTTCAGTCAGAAACAACGGAGGATGAGACACAGCGTGCCCCAACAAGACACTCTTGTGTGCCACTGCATGCGTAAGTGCACGGTTTGAAGACGTGCGAGCTACCGGCGACGAGATTTCGAGGCCTGGGCCAAGCCCTTCTTTTTGATCGGTGCCTTCTTTGAGTTGGATGACAGCTCGGCTTCAGCTGCCGCAATCTCGCGGTCCAAGTCAGTCATGCCAGCAAGCAAGTCGCGACTGATGCTGGTGCGGGCGGTAGCTTTGGCGCTGGGCAACGACTTGGTTGGCCTAAGCGTGCAGACCCCAAAAATTGTGAGCAGGAGTGCGTCAGAAATGATCAAACCGATGAAAGACTTACGAAGGGCCTGACGACCGAGTCGCGGTCGGTAGCGGTGGCACCTGCACAGGTGGTTTGCGGGCGGGTTCACGGCCCTTTGACACCCGAGAGGCGTGGCGCTGAGCGGTGGCAGCCGGCTTGAGGCTGCGCTTGCGGCGGCTTTTGCCTTGAGGTTCACTGAGAGACGGCGAGGCCATGCGCGCTGCAGGCTCCTTGCCCAAGATCAGAGGTTCCTTTTCATGAACGGGCTGTCGGTGCCAATACAGGGCAAATCAATAAATCATAAACATGGGCGTTGAGCCGGTGTGATTGGCTCGGCATCGGGAAGAGTAGGGCAACTTTGGTATGGCACGGCAAGCGAACAAATCGAGCACAAAGGTACATACCCGCAGCCGCTCACACTCCGTGGAGGGATGGCGAATGGCGAGGCGCGCCATCTCTGTCACATGGGCCGTCGGGCCAGGCACCGATGAAAGCGCTTCCGTACCGCTAATCCTGAGCATGTCGACACGCAGGGAACCAGAAGCAGGCGAGAAAAACACGATAAAATGGTGAGAACAACCATGCACCGATAAAAGACGTGCTGTGGGCAAGGCACAAAGAGCTCGACGCTCACATGGAGGTGGGTGCGCTAAAGTAGGCATCATCACGGGGCCCGGCCCGATTTCTTGAGGTGCGATGCTGTGCCAAGGGCGAGGTCAGGAGGTGTGAGACAATAAGCACAAGGGTCGACGTGTCCGAGCCAGGGAGCAGCAAGTGAAGGAGCAGAGGGTGCCTTGAAAGACTAACCGCGCCGTTTTGGCTAGCACCCAGGCGCCGGCTCAAGGCTGCCTTGGACTGTGGGTTGCGCGCACGCTCATAATTGATCTGAACCTCCCGCAGCTGAGCCACAAGGTCTGCATTGTGACGCTCGAGCTGCTCCTGCTGCAGCTGTAGTGCGGCATGCTGGCTGTAGAGAGCCACGTTTTCCATGCGGATGTCCTCGTTTTCTTGCATGTACTGTTGCAGCAGGACTTTGGCTTGGGTGAGCTCCCGGGCCATGTTGGCGATGGCCTCCATATCCAGTTCGCCACCGTCAGTGCGCCCACCGATGACAGTGCTTGTGTCACGACCAACACCAGCCAGCAAGGTATGCGCTGCGCCGACGAACAATGCATCCGACTGGGCATGAGAGGTGGTCTGTGGATCGCCATTCCCTGTTGGCTTTGTGTTGAGCCAGGTCAGGGGTAGAAGAAACAAAACGGCTCACCTTTGAGGGCCTCTTGAGTGAGGAGAGAGTTGGAAGAGACGACCTCGCTGCCCGAGTCGATTTGATTGCGTAAGTACGCACATTCTTGTCGAAGCATGCGCACCTCACGCTTCAGGGCCTGAATCATCATTTGCTGAGGATCCATGTGCACGATGGGTTTGTTTTGGATCCGCTTGGCCCGTGAGGCATATCGCAGGGTGTTTTGAGTTTCCTGCACCAATTCGTAGATCAACGAGTGAGAGGTGTGGTCAGAACAAAAGCAATATCAGCTTGTGCAAAGCGAGACAAACCGGCAGAGAGGTAGCCGCAGGGGAAATGCAGGCAATCATGAGGGTCATGCCGCTACCGCCCAGAGAGTCCTTGAGCAGCATGGTCAAGGCAGAATCGCGGTAGGGGATGTGTCCCTTGCGCTTTCGGGGGTCGGCCAGCGCACTAATGCAGTTGCCGAGGGTCAAAAGGGATTTGTTGATGTTGTTGCTTTCCACAAGAGTTTGGCCATCGGCCTTTGTGCGCTCGACGCGCTCGCTACCAGCCAAGTCGACAAAGCTGATACTGCCATGTCGGTGGACCACTAGACAAAGCAGCGTCAAAGAAAGAAAGACAATGTCACTGAGCGTGTTTGCTCCAGGTCAAGGCTTCAGCGGGCATGAAACAAGATTAACAAGCGGGGGGCGGAAAATAAAACAGGACGGCGCGGGCCCCTGCACATGCATACCTGAGGGGCCATCGCCTGTGCCATCTGATTCCTCGACGATGCTGTGAATATCGATGGAGAGGATGCTATGGCTGTGCACGGAGAAGAAGGACGTGAGTGCGGGCGAGCAAGGAGCTGCCGGCGCTTTGAACGAGGTTGGGCATGCAGGTTGCACGGGCGGACCTGCGAGAGGATCGATCGTTCATCTGGTGGGCAGCAACATGACGATTACGAAGACCTTCCTCGAGAACGTTGAGCATGGTCTGATCGCTGGCGCATTCTACGCGGAAAAGGTTTTCGACGTGGAAGCCACGTTCTGCTTTCCAGCGAACGGGCAGAGCGCCTCGCTCCGAGCGAAGATTGAGAAGGTCCATGACTTGTTCATTGTAAATTTCCAGGTATGAAGCCTGAAAGTTGTAGGTGACGTGGGAACGGCTAGCCACCTGTTGCCAAATGTAGGCAATGGAGCGCTGCAGGATGCCATCATCGTCGCCTGCAAGGCACACAAGGGGCGTCAAGCGTGAGGAATGAGGAGGATCGGGCGGGCTTGAGCAAGATTCAGGCTAATCGCAAAAAGGCATTGCTTTGTGGTTAGACCAAGAACGAGGCGTTCTGAAGAGGGGACCAAGTCGTTTTGAAAAGGAGTAGGGAAGGGTTTTTGAGGAAGGATGGATCTGAGGAAAAACAAGACTCACGAGAATCAGGACCGGTGATGGTATGAGTTTTGCCGCTTCCAGTCTGGCCAAAGGCAAAGACGGTGCAGGCATAGCCCTCCATGGCCGAGTCGAGTAGGTTCTTGATGCCAGAGACCTCGAAAAATTGCTGTTGGGAGCAGCGGTCGTCAACGGCTCTGTGGAAAGTAAAGGTGCGTGGGGCTTCGGCGTCTGTGGTTTTGATGGCGAGGGTCTGTTGATCTTCGAGCACCTCGACGGCCTGATAGTCACGTGCAGGACGGTGTTCCGTCTGATTCAAGGGACGAGAGCGGACCACAACGCGAATGCCATCGCGGCGCCCGAGCTGCTTCAGGGGATCATCGCCGTCCATGCCTTCGGCCCCAGCCACACCCGCCGATGTGGGGCCATGACGACCGGGCTCGTCCATGAACGGCTGCGAGCTTGAGCGCTCAAACTCAAGCTCGGCCAGCGAATCGCGCCTCGACGCCATGACCAGCTTGTCACCAAAGCGACCGCCCGTACTGCCAAATCAGCACCAAGCACCACCCTCCAAAGCGAACGGCAAAAGCTCACCAAAAGACGCACACGAGCGGCCGACAAGCGCAGCAACAAGAACACCGCTTGCCCAGACTTGAAAGATAAAGGCAACACGCCCAGCCCAGACAAGCAATCAGGTCAGTCAGGCACAGCCACAGACGGCTGCACGGTGGCAGGCAAAGGTGTCGAGTCACCTGGCAGAGCCACGAGCCCGACCAGCCACCATACCGATCCCCGTGTTCCAGCTCCACCCAGCCCTTTCCCTATCTACCCTGCGCCGTAATGCATATGTATCCAGGTATGTACGTGCACGAGTCTACCAACGAACGGCAACGAGGTAGACGGACGTTAAACAGCGGGGGGGGCAGGGGAGGGGGAGGAACAAATGCACCCCAACGTGGCGCTGCCGTTTCCCGCTCGCGTCTGTGTGTGTGTGTGTGTGTGTGTGTGTTTTGCAATTCAAACACCGATTGGGAAGAAGGAGCGGGGTAGAGAATAAGGGTAAGTGGCGTGAGGATCGCAGAGGTTGTGTTCGGGGTCAAAAATACCTCCCTTCAAACTTCAAGCTTAAAGTAGAGATGGGAGTCAAAGTTGTGAAAATTTGTAGAGAGTCAATTGAACCAAAATTAAAAGACTTCGGACGTTTAGAAACATTCACTGTCTTCGTATACTGTATATCATCACTGAATTCGTTAATATGTGTTCCGTACTCACACACACTCACACACACACACACACACACACACACACACACACACACACACACACACACACACACACACACACACACACACACACACACTTGCTTGATCTTCACTGCCTGCCGCAGTTCGACTCCCTGAATGGACAACCACGATCAGCATCAATCGGATGTGGAAGACAGGAATGCCAATCACGAAGTCAAGCAAACCGCTGCGCAATGGGCACTGTGGTCGATAGGGCTGCTTATGTCGTTTTGGAGGCGTGATTTTTTTTGTCGATGAACGTGGTCAGGACGAGAGGCAGCTCGCTTTCCGGACATTTGCGCGCGGCTGCGTATTGGTTCAATCCCCGCCTTACTATCAGCGCCCCAAACACATTTTAAACGCACAACCGAAGTCAACCACAATCAAATACAATGTCGTGCATTCCCCGTATTCGTCACAAATTCACCGTATTCGTGTGAGCCTCACACGTGTAAGGGCAGAATAGCATTATCACTATAATCGTATACACGACCAATTGTGAGTCCGACAACTAAACTCTCGACTTGCGATTTCTTTCAAAGAGTGGTGGTCAGGAGCACGCACACGATCAGGTTGAATTGCAATCAGGACGAGGGTCATGGCGCTGCGGGTAAAGGGGACGATGTACCGTGGAGGTGCTTGTTCTAGCTTGGACTGTATGCGCAATACTGGTCGCGGCAACCTCTCAGGACCCGTCGATCACGGTGGATGAGGGCGGCACGTTGTACATCAACTCGACCGAGAAAGTGGCGTCGACGTGAAGACGGTCATTGCTCTCCTACTTGATGCGACGACAAGCATGTGGCCTAGCGTGCCGCAACATCATCTCCACCGCTGCTGACGGTGCCTCCTCCGTGTATGCGGCGGATCTGGACGGTGATGGAAATCTCGATGTCCTCAGCGCGAGCTTCCTGGACGACAAGATTGCGTGGTACCGAAACAACGGCGACGAGACCTTTTCCGCCGAGATCGTCATCTCCACCGTCGCTGATTATGCCACCTCGGTGTATGCGGCAGATTTGGACGGCGACAGTGATCTCGATGTCCTCAGCGCCAGCATCAATGACAACAAGATTGCTTGGTACCGGAACAACGGCGACGGTACCTTGTCTGCCCAAATCATCATCACCACCTCCGCCAACGGCGCCGCCTCCGTGTATGCGGCAGATCTGGACGGCGACGGTCATTTGGATGTGCTTAGCGCCAGCCGCAACGACGACAAGATTGCGTGGTACCGGAACAACGGCGACGGCACCGGTTACGCCGAAATCATCATCTCCACCGCTGCTGATTATGCCCTCTCGGTGTATGCGGCAGATCTAGACGGCGACGGTGACAACGACGTCCTCAGCGCCAGTGCTAATGATGACAAGATTGCGTGGTACCGCAATGAGGGCGACGGTAACTTCTCCGCCGAGATTATCATCACCGCCGCCGCCGACGGCGTCTACTCGGTGTATGCGGCCGATCTGGACGGCGACAATAATCTCGACGTTCTCAGCGCCGGCTTCTATGACGACAAGATTGCGTGGTATCGGAACAACGGCGACGGCACCTTTTCCGCCCAGATCGTCATCTCCACCTCCACCAACGGCGCCTACTCGGTGTATGCGGCAGATCTGGACGGAGACGGTCATATCGATGTGCATCAGCGCCAGCCGCAACGACGACAAGATTGCGTGGTACCGGAACAACGGCGACGGCACCGTGTTACGCCGAAATCATCATCTCCACCGCTGCTGATTATGCCCTCTCGGTGTATGCGGCAGATCTAGACGGCGACGGTGATCTCGACGTCCTCAGCGCCAGTGCTAATGATGACAAAATTGCGTGGTACCGCAATGAGGGCGACGGTAACTTTTCCACCCAGATCATCATCTCCACCGCTGCTGACGGCCCGATCTCGGTGTATGCGGCCGATCTAGACGGCGACGGTAATCTCGACGTCCTCAGCGCCAGCCGCTTCGACAACAAATTTGCGTGGTACCGGAACAACGGCGACGGCACCTTTTCCACCCAGATCGTCATCTCCACCGCCGCTGATTATGCCTACTCGGTGTATGCGGCAGATTTGGACGGTGACGGTGATTTCGACGTCCTCAGCACCAGTGTCAATGACGACAAGATTGCTTGGTATCGGAACAACGGCGACGGCGCCTTTTCCGCCCAAATCATCATCTCCACCGCTGCTGACGGTGCCTGCTCAGTGTATGCGGCCGACCTGGACAGCGACGGTGATCTTGACGTCCTCAGCGCCAGCGTGACCGGTGGCAAGATTGCGTGGTACCGGAACGATGGCCAGTGGGACTGGAAAACTCGCTTCAATATGAACTGACCTTGCACTCTTGAGGCCATCTTTGCGTCTTGTACGTGTGCGCCTCATTCATACACGTTGACTCTACAAGATGCTCTTGGCTCTGAATCTGTGTGAAGAGAAGTGGCTTTGGCTTTCGGCACGTCATCTTCACTCTAAAATTGCCTTGCCCCTGATCCTCTGCCTGGCCTGGTTGAATGTGTTTCCATTCCCTTAATTTAATTTACCACGCTAATCATCCTCAATTGGATTTGGAAGAAAGGAACGTAAATCACGAAGTCAAGATTTGTATTTCTTAAAGACAAACTGCTGCCCAATGGGCACCATGGGCGACAATGCCTCGCGGAGGCTGTTTCAGGCAAGATAAGTGTCTTGACGAGAAACGACTCAGCTGGCTTGGTGTGCGGCTTCATTTTGATTTGTTCCTTTCTTCACCCGACGAGCGATGCGCAGTCAGACTTGCTCTTACTCTCTTCATTTTCCGCTGCTTGGCCATATGGCTTGACCCGACGGGCTTGTAGACGGAGGCATGGATTCCGAACCTGAAAGCCTACGCATGGATCAAAGGTTTTGCTCACATTATGGCATTGGATTGATATCATGACCAAGTCTTTCAGTCTCCGGCTTTATTTCTCTCCCAGGCGCACCCATCGCCGGTGCCTTCATTTTTTTCCCAGCTGGGAATGCGACCACAATGAGTGCATGCGCACAGACTGAAGGTTCGACAAGCTTTGAAGTGTTGAATGATGCCGTGGCAGGTGGTGAATGCCTCAACGTTCACTGCATTCGTGACTACGATACACCATCACTGCATTCGTCTGCAAACATCACGAGTCCGAAGTCCGAAAACGCACACATCCGAAAGGACATGTCTGCAAACATTAGGAGTCCGAAAAGTTAAACACACACACACACACACACACACACACACACACACACACACACACACACACACACACACACACACACACACACACACCAAAGAAAGAACCACTGATCCTTACTTACTATTTTTCCAAGTGCGGTGGTCAGGAACACGCACACGGTCAGGTTGAATTGCAATCAGGACGAGGGTCATGGCGCCATCGATGAGTCTGCGGGCAAGGGGACCATGTACCGTGGAGGTGCTTGTTTTGGCCTGGGCGTTGTGTGTGGTTCTGGTCACGGCGGCGGCCCAGAAGCCATCCATCACGGTGGATGAGGTTGGCACGTTGTTCATCAACTCGACTGAGAAGGTGGTGGTCAATGGTGTCGACGTAATGGCGGCCTTTGCTTACCTACTTGAAGCGGCGACAAGCACGCCGTCAAGCGTGCCACAACTCATCATCTCCACCGCCGTTCGTGGCCCCGACTCGGTGTATGCGGCTGATCTGGACGGCGACGGTGATCTCGACGTTCTCAGCGCTAGCAGCGATGACAAGATTGCTTGGTACCGGAACAACGGCAACGGCACCTTTTCTGCCCAGATCGTCATCTCCACCGCTGCTGACGGCGTCACCTCGATGTATGCGGCTGATTTGGACGGCGACGGTGATGTCGATGTGCTCAGCGCCAGCTGGAACAAGATTGCTTGGTATCGGAACAACGGCGACGGCACCTTCTATTACAGGCAGATCGTCATCTCCACCGCTGATGATGGCGCCCGCTCGGTGTATGCGGCAGATCTGGACGGCGACGGTGATCTCGACGTTCTCAGCGCCAGCTATGGTGACGACAAGATTGCGTGGTATCGGAACAACGGCGATGGCACCTTTTCCACCCAGATCATCATCTCCACCGCTGCTGACGGTGCCTTCTCGGTGTATGCGGCAGATCTGGACGGCGACGGTGATCTTGACGTCCTCAGCGCCAGTGATAATGATGACAAGATTGCGTGGTATCGGAACAACGGCGACGGCACCTTCTCTGCCCAGATCATCATCTCCACCGCTGCTGATTATGCCATCTCGGTGTATGCGGCAGATCTGGACGGCGACGGTGACAACGACGTCCTCAGCGCCAGTGTTAATGATGACAAGATTGCGTGGTATCGGAACAACGGCAACGGCACCTTTTCTGACCAGATCATCATCTCCACCGCTGCTGACGGTGCCCGCTCGGTGTATGCGGCAGATCTGGACGGCGACGGTGATCTTGACGTCCTCAGCGCCAGCCTCAACGACGACAAGATTGCGTGGTATCGGAACAACGGCGACGGTAGCTTCTCTGCCCAGATTGTCGTCTCCACCACCGCTGATGGCGCCCGCTCGGTGTATGCGGCAGATCTGGACGGGGACGGTGATCTTGACGTCCTCAGCGCCAGTGGCGGCGACAATAAGATTGCGTGGTACCGCAACGATGGCCAGTGGGACTGGAAAACTCGCTTTAATTTGCCCTAAACCCTGCACTCTTAACCATCTTTGCGTCTTGTACGCCTCATTCATACACGTCGGACAATTGCTGACTCCACAAGATGCTCTTGGCTCTGAATCTCCTTGCAGAGCAGGAAGAGGAGGCAGTGGAGACATCGGCTTACAACTTGTGGCACTTGAGTCTCACTCCGAAACTGCTATGTCCGACCCCTTGCCCCTGATTCTCTGCCTGGCCTGGTTGAATGTGTTTCTTCTCCCTTCATTTACCACGATCCTCGTCATCAATTGGATTTGGAAGAAAGCAAAGACCAGGAATTGAATTTCTCAAAGACACCAACCACTGCTCAAGGGGACCATGGTAGGCAAGGATTTGCGAGGACTGTTCCAGGTTTGTTGAAGGTGATGCAGGGAGCGGATGTGTTTTGATGATCAACGTGTCAGGACGAAGTGCAGCTCGCTCGGTGTGTGGCCTTATCTTTATCAGTTCTGTTGTTTACCCGACAAGCGATCGCGCCGTCAGACTTGATTTTGACCTCTTCATTTTCCGCAGCTTTGGTCGATGGCGCGATTGGGCGGGCTTTCATAACTTGAGAGATGGTCTGATCCGACATCATCCCTGCATCACGGCTGGATCGGTCCTGCTAGAACGCCACTTGCAGCCATGCGAGGTCATGTCATTCGTTCCAAAGCCTACGCACGGATCAAAAGCTTTTGCTCTCATCAACGTATGTACGCTCAGACTCGCACAAGTTATCTGACATTCGTTTTTCACACACACGAAACACAACAATACTCCATAACACACACACACACACACACACACACACACACACACACACACACACACACACACACTCACAGCGTTTGTTCTCTTCGGGCAAGAAAAGCAGTAAACGCGCATGGGCTAGCACGATCTGGCTGAAGTGGGGATGAGGAGGACCATGGCGTCATTGATATTGATGCGTCTGCAGGACAGGAGACGTTGCACTTCTAGTATGATTGAGACCATCTTTGTGCCTTGTCCAGCCGGACGATCGACCTGGGTTTGACGAGTAGGCAGTAGAATTGATATTGTTTTGGCTGTGAGCTTCCGACACTGAGTCCTCTCGGTATTGTTGCTATCGCTCACCGATAGCGCCTCCTTCTCCATCAGACCCCAAACGCATGAGGCCATTTTCATCTGACTCGAATTTTCAAAGCGTGGTGGTGTTGTCCTGAGCTGCTCGATGATAGCAATACCGATAAAAAGAGAAGAAGTGATGATTTGTCTGATCAAGTGGCGTGGGTTCGACCAAGGCAAGCGTCTTTCGAGGCGGCACTAGAGCTTGGCCCGCGGTGATGTTCCATGCGCAAATGAGAAACGTTGTGTTTAGCTGGAAGTTCTCAGCGCCAGCCGCCATGACAACAAGATTGCTTGGTACCGCAACGATGGCCAGTGGGACTGGAAAACTCGCTTCAATTTGCCCTAAACCCTGCACTCTTAACCATCTTTGCGTCTTGTACGCCTCATTCATACACGTCGGACAATTGCTGACTCCACAAGATGCTCTTGGCTCTGAATCTCCTTGCAGAGCAGGAAGAGGAGGCAGTGGAGACATCGGCTTACAACTTGTGGCGCTTGAGTCTCACTCCGAAATTGCTCCTCTGCCTGGTCGAATGTGTTTCTACTCCCTTCATTTACCACGATCCTCATCATCAATTGGATTTGGAAGAAAGCAAAGTCCAGGAATTGGATTTCTCAAAGACACCAACTACTGCTCAAGGGGACCATCGTAGACAAGGATTTGCGAGGACTGTTCCAGCTATGTTGAAGGGGATGCAGGGAACAGAAGGGGTTTGACGATACACGTGTCAGGATGAATTGCAGCTGGCTTGGTGTGTGGCCTTATCTTCACCAGTTTCGTTGTTTACCCGACAAGCGATGGCGTGGTCGGACCTGATCTTGAGCTCTTCATTTGCCGCAGCCTGGGTCGTTGGCATGATCAGATGGGCTTTTATAGCTTGAGAGATGGGCTGATCAGACATCATCCGTGTATCATGGCTGGAAGGGTCGTGCTAGCACACCACATGCAAGCCATGCCCCATCACGTCCTTCAAGTAATCCAAGATACACCCCTCATTCGTTCCACACCTGAAGACCTGCGCACAGATCCAAAAGCCTTTGCTCCCATGAACATCCAAGCGTAAATAAACCGACGAACGGACACGAACGGACACGAACAAGTTATCTGACATTCGACGTTGTTCACTTACACACACACACACACACACACACACACACACACACACACACACACACACACACACACACACACACACACACACACACACAGATCGAGCAAGAAAAGCAGTAAACGCGCATGGGCGAGCACGATCTGGCTGAAGTGGGGATGATGAGGACCATGGCGTCATTGATATTGATGCGTCTGCGGGACAGGAGACGTTGCACCATGGAGATGCTTGTTGTGGTTTGGGTGCTGTGTGCGGTACTGGTCGCGGGGACGGCTCAGAAGCCGTCGATCGCGGTGGATGAGGCAGGCACGTTGTACATCAATTCAACGAACAAAGTGGTGGTCAATGGTATCAATGTGGAGGCAGCCTTTGCCTTCCTTTTTGACGCCACGCCAGCCTTGTGGTGGAGCGCACCAGAGCAGCTCGTCATCTCTACTGCCGCCGACGGCCCGCTCTCGGCATATGCGGCAGATTTGGATGGCGACGGTGATCTCGATGTCCTCAGCGCCAGTGTTCATGACAGCATGATTGCTTGGTACCGGAACAACGGCGACGGCACGTTTTCCGACCAGATCGTCATCTCCACCGCCGTCGGAGGCGCCACCTCGGTGTATGCGGCAGATCTGGACGGGGACGGTGACCTTGACGTCCTCAGTGCAAGTGCTGGTGATGACAAGATCGCGTGGTACCGGAACAACGGCGACGGCACCTTTGCTGCCCAGATTGTCCTCACCACCGATGCCGATTATGCCCACACAGTGTATGCGGCAGATCTGGACGGCGACGGTGACATAGATGTTCTCAGCGCCAGCGTCAATGACGACAAGATTGCGTGGTATCGGAACGAGGGCGACGGCACCTTTTCCGCGCAGATCGTCATTTCCACTGCCGCTGGCGATGGCGCCCGCTCGGTGTATGCGGCGGATCTGGACGGTGACGGTGATCTTGACGTCCTCAGTGCCAGCATCAACGGCGACAAGATTGCGTGGTACCGGAACAACGGCGACGGTACCTTCTCCGCCCAGATTATCATCTCCACCGCTGCTGATTATGCCATCTCAGTGTATGCGGCAGATCTGGATGGCGACGGTGATCTCGATGTCCTTAGCGCCAGCCGCAACGACGACAAAATTGCGTGGTACCGAAATAATGGCGACGGCACCTTTTCCGACCAGCTCATCATCTCCACTGCCGGGCTTGCTGCCACCACGGTGTATGCGGCAGATCTGGATGGTGACGGTGACCTCGATGTGCTCAGCGGCAGCTGGAACGACAAAAAAATTGCATGGTACCGGAACAACGGCGACGGCACCTTTTCCGCCCAGCTTGTCATCTCCACCAATGCCAATTATCCCTTCTCGGTGTATGCGGCGGATCTGGACGGTGACGGCAATCTCGATGTCCTCAGCGCCAGCCGCGACGACAACAAAATTGCGTGGTACCGCAACAACGGTCAGTGGGACTGGAAAACTCACTTCAATTAGTTTGATTGAGACCATCTTTGTGCCTTGTCCAGCCGGACGATCGACCTGGGTTTGACGAGTAGGCAGTAGAATTGATATTGTTTTGGCTGTGAGCTTCCGACACTGTGTCTTCTCGGTATTGTTGCTATCGCTCACCGATAGCGCCTCCTTCTCCATCAGACCCCAAACGCATGAGGCCATTTTCATCTGACTCGAATTTTAAAAGCGTGGTGGTGTTGTCCTGAGCTGCTCGATGATAGCAATGCCGATAAAAAGAGAAGAAGCAGCAGAGCGCAGGAAACATTCACTGCATTCGTATTCTAGATACCATCACTGCGTTCGTACACAACATCGGGAGTCCGTGTAGTCCATCCGGATGTATTTGCTTTCAAAGGAGGCTGGTTAGGAACACGCACACGGTCGAGAGGAATTGGAGTGAAGACCAGGGTCATGGCGTCATCGATGCGTCTGCGGGCAAGGGGACGTTGTCTCGTGGAGGTGTTGGTTCTAGTTTGGGTGCTGTGTGCGGTACTGGTCGCGGCGGCGGCCCAGAAGCCATCGATCACGGTGGATGAGGCCGGCACGTTGTACATCAACTCGACTGATAAAGTGGTAGTCAACGGTGTCGACGTGAAGGCGGCCTTTGCTTTCCTTTTTGAAGCAACGGCAAGCATGTGGTCAAGCGTCCCGCAACTCACCATCTCCGCCACCGCTGACGGCGCCCGCTCGGTGTATGCGGCAGATCTGGATGGGGACGGCGATGTTGACGTCCTCAGCGCCAGTTCTGTTGACGACAAGATAGCGTGGTACCGGAACAACGGCGACGGCACCTTTTCCACCGAAATCATCATCTCCGCCACCGCTGACGGCGCCCGCTCGGTGTATGCGGCAGATCTGGATGGGGACGGCGATGTCGACGTCCTCAGCGCCAGCATTGATGACAACACGATTGCTTGGTATCGGAACAACGGCGATGGCACCTTTTCCGCCCAGATCATCATCTCCACCGCTGCTGATTATGCCCGCTCGGTGTATGCGGCAGATTTGGACGGCGACGGTGATCTAGACGTCCTCAGCGCCAGTTCTGCGACGACAAGATAGCGTGGTACCGGAACAACGGCGACGGCACCTTTTCCGCCGAAATCATCATCTCCGCCACCGCTGACGGCGCCCGCTCGGTGTATGCGGCAGATCTGGATGGGGACGGCGATGTCGACGTCCTCAGCGCCAGTGTTAATGACGACAAGATTGCTTGGTATCGGAACAACGGCGACGGCACCTTTTCCGCCCAGGTCATCATCTCCGCCACCGCTGACAGCGCCCGCTCGGTGTATGCGGCAGATCTGGACGGCGACGGTGATCTCGATGTCCTCAGCGCCAGCATCAATGACAACACGATTGCTTGGTACCGTAACAACGGCAATGGCACCTTTTCCGCCCAGATCATCATCTCCACCGCTGCTGATTATGCCCGCTCGGTGTATGCGGCAGATTTGGACGGTGACGGTGATCTAGACGTCCTCAGCGCCATTTCTGGCGACGACAAGATTGCGTGGTACCGGAACAACGGCGACGGCACCTTTTCCGCCCAGATCATCATCTCCACCGCCGCTGATTTTGCCTACTCAGTGTATGCGGCAGATCTGGATGGGGACGGCGATGTCGACGTCCTCAGCGCCAGTGTTAATGACCACAAGATTGCTTGGTACCGGAACGATGGCCAGTGGTACTGGAAAACTCGCTTCAACTTGATCTGAACCTAGCATTCTCGAGGCTGAGTTTTGCGTCTTTGCGTCTTGACTTTCAAGCCGAATGATGGACCTCCATCCACAGGACGCTGTGAACCTGAATGGTGTTGTATCCGTCAGCTTTCCACACTTTGTCGTCCATGAGATGACTATCGCTCAGCCCGTCATCGGTTCAAAGCATTTGCTGTATTTCCGTATTGTATCTTGTTCTCATATATTCGGACTGAATTTCAAAGGCTGACGTGCCTGTCCTTTGGCAAGCCTCGACACAAAATTCGGACAATCACCTTGACTCCCCAAATCTCTTGATGCTCTTTCAGCCTTTCCAAGGAGTAGGCCGTACAATTGATTTCCTGACTGTCCGTTTCCGGCACTTCATTCTCTCAGTAAGATTCAGCACACGCATAACCGGAGCGCGTCTTGCCATTTGCGGGCTTTGCGCCGACGTGGCGCGAATAAAATATTACGCATGTTTTGTCTGTCCCATCTACACTCGAGAAGTCTCTTTCATCAGAGGTCCAAGATGCCAAGCGCTCGGTATGCAATTAATAGCGCTCACAGTGACAATAACATGAGTATGACTATGATCACAAGCACATCAACAGGCATGGGTGCGGGCTTCAAAGCGCGCATATCCATGTGGCTTTCCAGGCGGTAGGCCTAAAGGCAGGTGACGTTGCCGGAGAACAGCATCGTGCCCCACTGGACTATGGAGCAAGTGTGTGTAATAAGCGGGTTGCTGGAGGCCGGCGTCGTGCAGTTGGCATCCATAAATGTGTCCACTTGGTAGGTGGCGTGCGGAGTGCAGACATCGCCTGCCGGGGTTTTAATGCGCATGGACAGGAGGAGCCCGGAGGGCCCGGCAAAGGCCACGCATTGGTTCAAGTGGGCTTGGATGTGGGGACCCGGCTCACGGCTACTACATTCGCTATTGGCAAAGGTGCGTAGATCCAACGTAGCCGGGCCCAGGTCGGTACCACGGCAAGGACAATATGCTCCTACCATGTATCCATTGGACTCGAAGCAAGAGTCAACGCTGATGGCCGCTGGGACGGACAGCGGGGTTCCCTTGCAATGGCGATCACTATAGACCACAGCCACGACCGTCTGATTCGCCTGACAGGCGTCAGTTAGGAAGTAGAGCGTGGAGCCCTCTGATCCGTCGGTGTTGGGTGTGCAGAAGCCGTTTTCACGGAACAGGGCGTTTTCCATCATTACGCTCGAGGCATCGCCACAGCGCCCTTTAAATGGCACAAGACCAAAGTTTTGGGACGCATCGGGTAGATTGCACATGCATTGAAAGAGCACCGAGGTGTTTGTGGCCGCCGATGGGACGCACTTGTTCATAGGCAAGGACGAGTCGGGTTGGGCAGCATCACACGATGGAGCGTCAATCGCCACGGTCACGTTCTGCGCTGCGGAGCAAGCACTCGCGTCAAAGGAGAGTCTGCGATACTTGTTGGGTCCATCCTGGTAGCACTGCTTGTTGGCCCAACCCACGGAGAGCATGTAGTCTGCGGCCCCACAGCCAAGGGTGGGGCTACTGAAGATGCGCTCAGACACGAAGCTATCCGGGTCCAGCAGAGGTGTTGTGCTTGAGGCGCCCACAACAGCCAGTGTCAGCATCAGCGCCGCCAAGCGCGCCATGTCATGCATTGCGTCGTGATGTCGTGCCATCCGGTGCTCACCCCTACAAACACGAACAAGCAAGCATGAGCAATCCGGGCTTTGAGCAAGGGCATCTCGAGATCCACCTCTGCCACCAAGAGGCATCTGACTGTCGGGTGTCTCCCAGAACTGTGAAACTTTGTCACGAATCGCTGTCCTGCCCAAAAACTTGCTTCTGTCGCTTTGCTGCTCTCCTGACACCATCCTCATCACTACTGACGCGCCACCGCCGTCCTTTGGGCGCTGCCCTCGCGCTGCACCAGCTGTCGCCGTCGAGCCTCACCTCGATTAACTTTCGAGATCAAGATCTTAACATTAGAGAGCAAATGCGAATTTGTTCTGACAATCTATTGATAGTCCAATGCGCCGAAAATAGGTCTTGTTGTAACGACCAAAAAGTTTTAATTTCTCTCTCTCTCTTGTTTTCGCCGTTTTTTTTTTAAACTTTCTTACGTTGTTTCTCTGCCTCTGTCTCTCATTGCAAGTTCTTGAATCTCGTTCTCTCTTCAAGTTCATCAAATTCGATCTCTATCTCTTTATTTTAGTACGGATTCGCAGGCAAAGGTTTTCGCAAAACAAACGCATCTCTGATCGTCTTCCAGACTTGTTCCTCTTCTCTCCCACAGTTCCCGACTTATACACACTCTCTCTCACATTTACTTTCACGCCTCTCAAACAGATCTCGCTGCGCTGCGACACCGGTGACCGTCTGTCTGCCCCCGTGCGCTGGACGCTCCGTTGCCGTTGTCGGTTGACATCTGCGCTGCTGACGTCTTCTCATTCTGTCTGGCGAGGTGGTGGTGTGCTGTGACCGCCACACTGGGAAGCCTGGCACTGCTGTCGGCGGGCGTGCCCGCCCATGCGCAGACGCCACCCTACGATCCCCGAGGACCGACCAGCACCATGCCGCCGGCTACAGGTGCTGGTGTAGGCGCACCTGCGTCAGCAGTTAATGGCAATGGGGCAGCAGCAGGGGAAGGTGTTCCTAGCGTTCTTCTGCCAGACGCAGACCTTGGCGAACCGCTGCCCTTTGGCGGGAGCGGTCTCAGCAAAGCCTTTCGCCGGTCTCTTCTCCGTCGGGCTCAGGTCGCCCTTCCCAGCCACACGCGCGTGGATGCTTCAACCTTTCGTCAATCCGAATATGACGTCGAGTCCCAACGCGTTGTCGATGCTGCCTATGGCCACTTTGTCCCCAGCACACCCGTGTTCACTGCCCAAGCTGCGCCCCCCGTGCCCACCACAGCGCCAGCTGCCAAACACGTTCGCATCGCCGATCCCCCAGCCACGTCGCCCCCGCCAGCATCTCGTCCCGCTCCTGCAACGGCTGTCCCAACAACCTCGGCGTCTGCCACGCTTGCACCTGCGCCTGCTCCTGCAGCCACGGCTGCCGTCACATCTGTGCCCGTGCGCGCGGCCGGCCTTCCCTCGGGCAATGTCCACTCGCCCGTCCGGCGTCAAAACATGGCTAATCTTGGCCGCGGACACGCTCTTCCCCCAGACGAACTGGATCTAGCCCCAGTCCACGGGGATACTCGCCTGCAGCACGCACCTCCTTTGCCTGCCCACTATCAGCGTGCTGACCACGATGCCGTGCGTAGCATTCTCCACAACGAGCCTCGCCCCATGGCCGATCGACGCCATAACCGCGTCCTCTTTGCTGCCGATGACTCCACCTCTTCGGGAGCTGGCGTGGCGCTCAATCGCCCCGTTCCACCCCTGGATCCATCAGAATACACTATGCAGTATCGCAAACCTCTGGGCCCTGACACCGCCTCAACTCCCGTCCGTGCCCCACGGCCTGCTTGGGCCCCGCCAACACAGCCCATGCCCGTGCCCGCACCCGAGGATCTGCCCATGCCTCCATCTGAATACGATCGTGCCTACGTCTGGCCTGCCGAGAGTGGCCCCTCGTCAGCACGGTGTATCATGCAAAGCGATATTCGTCGTACCGACCCCGCCACCGTAGCCGATGTCCTTGCCCACTACCGTAGCATTGCGCCACCAGGCCTCGTCGACTCTACCTATGCCCTAGCCTACGATGTGCCTCCAGTGCCTGCCCCACCTATTGCGGCACCGCGACCAGCTACAATCGCCTCGGCACGGACCAACGCAGCCGCAGCGCAGCATAACACCATTTCATCGGCGTCTTCGAAGGCGTCATTTCAAACACCGCCGCGTGAGGCTTGGCCCACGGCTGCGGTGCAATCACGCCGTGAAAAGCCCGCCGTTTCTGTTGGCATTCAAGCCGACGTCGCGCCACCGCTAGACCCCATCGCCGCTGCTCTGGTCGCTAGCCCCTTGAAGTATAGGCCTGTCTCCGAATACAAACACAGCTATGAATCTCCCCGCTCGTGGCGCGAGTCAACCGCTGTGCAAACCGACGACAGCCTGACGCATCAGGCTTTACAGCCCCATGTTTCAAGTAAAGAGCCCGCCTGGCCTCGTGCTGGATCTGGACTACCCCTGCCGCACACCAACATTCCAACCACGAGTGCCGTGACCTCTCCGACACGTGGTGCCCCAGCCACATATCGCTCCGAGCGTGAGCTGGCTTCCAAAGCGACCACCCCCAACACCCTCCAAGTGGTGAGTTGCATTCAATTTTTCCATTCCCGCCTCGTGGCCAGGTTTTTGGATCACTCACAATTGCTTGTTCCACGCTCGCACAGCATGATCTGCCAGCCGCTGGGCGGCCGAGCGTGGTATCGAGCGGCATTGGTCAACCCGATTTGCCAGAGCTAGCCACCTATGATACTGAATATCGCAATCGGTAAGCTGGACTTGAATCCATTCAATTTCTCGTCCCACAGCTCTTGGCCTCACTGTTTTGTCTTCCTGATTCTAGGTACATGGACTGGCAATATCCCTCGCCTTCTCGGCGCCCCACCCAACCTGAAAAAATTCCTTCAAGTAAGTCAGGGGGAAAAGGGGTCAATCTTGTCTGCTCCTATTGATTCCTAGTGGTGTCGTTGTATCGCCATGGTACCATCTCGCGCTGGGTGGTGAACGGTGATGCACGCTCAATGGGTTGTCGTCGTGTCGTCGTGTCGTCTCCCAATCGTAGCGACCGAGTACACTCAACACTACGGCCCCCGAGAAGCACGAGTGGCTCAGGGACACACCAGCGAGGAAATGCGTCGAGTATTTGAGCGCGTGGACAGCGATGTAGCCGCGGCGCAATATGCCGCACAACGTCGTCAATTTGCGCCCAGTGACTGGCACCGGCAGCTAGAGCAAAATCGTCGGGCTGCAGCGGCTTATCGCCTACGTGGTCGACAGCTTGACCACGTTGGTCAGCGTTTGAATGAAATTGCTGCCGAGCAAGAGGCGCTGCTTGAGCAGGCTCGTGTTAAGGAGTTGCGCGAGCACCAACGTGAGGCGGCTCGTCGACTAGATCTTGATGCCCAGGTCCATCCCCATATGGTTACGCGCTCTGGCACGGAAGAGCTTGACTTACAACCAACCTTCCCAAGCCACGAAAGCGCACCATCAATCATCGACTACGAGCTTCCGGCGCGGACATCATCACCTCCCCGCTCAAGGACCATGCCCACGGCCCAAGCAGATGATTCTGCATTGCCTGGGCCTCAAGCCGACCCAACCATCGACTTGGCAACCACTTTCAAGCGGTTGCACCCTGTTGGCCACTCGGGCACGGTGTCCCAAGGCCACGGCGTGCCTGGACCCTCTATGGTGCCCCTGCGCCCGCAGCGCTTGCGTGGCGACGAATCCTGGACCGAGTTGGGCAGTGTTTTGGATATCCAAAGCCCAGGGCCCGCGGCTGCTCAAGTCAAGCCCACGCTCCATGCCACTTCGGTACCGGCTGGGCCAGCCTCGACAATATCACAAGTGAGCAGTCTTGCGCACGGCGACACCACGACCAGCGAAGCATGGGCAACAGATGCCAATGCCGAGTACAGCCGACTGGGGCTCGGCACCGGTGGCACTAGCCGGCCTTCACATCGCCGAGAGGCTACTGAGTGGGTGGACTGGTCTGCTGAGGTTGGCCGAGGCACGCCGAGTGCTCGTTTGGCAGATGACGTGCTCGAGCGAGCGCGACGCCACCGGGCCAAAACACGCATCTGAGGAGAATAGAGTCTGGTGGGGGACTATTTTTTTTTTTTTTTTTTTGGTTTTGCTTGCTTTTTCACGTTAATTGTATCCTATTTGAAGACCGTTTTGGTGATTGATGTAGGCATAAAGGCCGCGGTGTTTGCCTGTGGTGCGCAGCATAGCGTTTGTTGTTAATTTGAAGACTTGTTTCACACACATTCTACCATGCTTCACTTGAGCTGATGGGCGAACAGGGTCCAATCAGGTGCACAGGGTGCCAATGATGATGGGCATGTCTCGGTGGGACAAGCACAGTCACATATGGCTCAGGCACTTTGATAACATGCCAGAAACGCCACAGCCAGCACAGCGGCCGGTCAAGGCGCGCCACTCGGGACCTCTTGTGGCCAATGAACAGGTTAAACAGCAGAAATCAAAGTAAAAACTGCCAGCTCAACCCAAAAGAAGAAAGAAAAGAAGAAGAAAAACGAAACACAGGTATATCACACTGATTGCCTGCGAGCCAACAGACAATCACGCCACAAAGACACGCGGCAAACACCCAGTAAATGAAGTCAAGGGTAAGGAAGCAGAAGAGAGAGCGAGACAGAGAGCGAGGAACCCATGCACGAGCACACATGTCCACAACAACTTTGACACACGCTCAAACTCACACAAATTGAAAACAAAAAAAAAAAAAAACAACAAAAAAAATCCAAAGGAGGAAGCTCTTGCTCATGTATGGTCTATCGAACAAAACTCACACAGCACGTTTATAGCGTCGTTGTCGCATTGACATCCCTGTGCGACGGGCAATGCAAAGCAAGGCGTTCGTTTGCTGTGTGAGTGTGGCGACCCAGCGATGATGATGATGACAACACAGGGGAGGCTTCTCAGCTGCAACTCACTTGTTGGGATTGTCAACAGCACCCGCTAGGCGATGAAACTGTGTTCAGCAGCATGAACGCACGTCAGAATTGAATGCCATGATATTTTTAAACAACGGAATCACGACGAGAACAATGATCACACCTCCTTGCCAGTGATATCGCGAAGCATGACAACCATGGCAGTTTCGTTGTCGCAACCCGACCCATCGCCCGTCTCCGTGTCCGGTGCCATGCAGGCATCCAACAGTTCGGTGATGGCTGCCTTGATCACAACGCCCTTGGTAAAGCGTACACGCAGATAGTCAACGACCTGCTGAGAAGTCATTGAGTTCCAGATACCATCGCAGGCCAGGACAATAAACTCGTCGTCTTGACACAGCTCCATGACCTGGATATCAGGCAATGCCGAAACTTTCTGCAAAGACCGCGACGATCGGGAGGGCACGCACAATTGCAAGGACGTTTACATGAGGCAGCGTGTCGGCACACCCAAAGGCACTCGAACAAATGACTTCAACTGCTGCCAATGCGGACCTGATCGCGATGATCGAGCTCAGCGTTTTGCTTGTAGTTCCAGTCGCCTAGGGCGCGCGAAAGGTTGAGGCCACCCTCAATACGACCGTCACTGTCCACTGTACCACCGGCCCGTTCAATGCGCCTAAAAAGAAGAAAGGCGTGAGTCCGGTACGGCTGCAAGAGGATGCAGGTGGCACCAAGAGGCGTCTTGGGTGGTGAGTCAAGGGGCCGTCAGGTTACACACGTGCGCTCAGGCTCATCCTCGGGTTTGTGATCCTCACTCATGTCCATGGCCACGCCCTTGCGACACAGGACAGCCCTGTTGAGAACATTGAAGCAGGGAGCGAGCATGAGGTATGGTGCCTTTGATGAGCGAATACAGGCGCGATGGGGGCATCAAGACGAACCGACAATCCCCCGCATTGGCCACAATTGCCAAGCGCTCGTTGAGGAGCATGACGTTGGCGGTGGTACCAGAGCTGTAGCCCGGAGCCTCATCTTCTTGCATTGATTGAATGGCCTGCAGTGCCTCGCTACCTTCGCCGTGTTGAGCCAGGGCTGCCAGCAGCTGAGCACGGATGCTCTCACCTACAAAACACCCAGTTCCAGCACGCGTGAGTACTCAGGCAGAGCAACTGAAAAAAAAAACTCGAGTGGTATGACTTTGCAATGGACAAACGCACTGTGCTCAAATGCCTGCTCTTCAACACCCTCTTCGTCCTCATCCGAATCGTCAGCAGCCTGATCCTGGTCGTCGCCCTCTTTTGTGCTTTGCTTTCCGTCTTTGGATTGCTTCTGCTTGGAGTCCTTGTCTTTTGCCTCCTCCTCGTTGTCATCCTCGTCGTCATCATCCTCGTCATCCTCGTCGTCATCCTCGTCGTCCTCCATGAGATCGCCGGTCAAGAGTGCCTGCAGCTTGGCCCGCTTTTGATCAAGTTGCCCATCTGTTGCCGTCTCGCCGGCATTATCCGCACGCTTGCCATTGGCACGCTTGAGCTCCTGTTGGCAGGCATAGGGTGGGTTAGACGATGCTGTGAGCAAAGGCGGGGAGGCGCGGATTTTGGACAAATCCAAAATGGCCTGGTCTCACATCGATGGGAATGTCGGCATCGGCCTGAAGGGCTTCAATGTTGTCACCATCTTCCTCATCATCCTCTGAATCGTTATCATCATCGTCCGAATCATCTGGTTCACGAGTAAGAACCGGGGGGTCAGGAACGGCGGGCTAATCTGACTCGAAACAGCAGACGGTTCATGAGCACGTACTGCCAGCATGCGCAAGTTGTTGCAGCTCTGCCAGGCTTTCCTCGGCTTTGATTTGCAGATCAAGAGCTAAAAAGGCCTTTTGCAAGGCCTGGGTCACCTCGCCATTGGCAAAGCCTTCTTGTGCCTTGAGACAGTCCAGCAGATGACGGGCGACAAATTTTGATACTTCGGGACCTGTACCAAGCCAATGTGGGCCACAACAGCGGGGTCAAAGACACGCGTCCCTCAAAGGCGAACCCCCAGCATACGTGGGGCGTAACACCAACCGCCGTGGCCATCAAAAACACCATAGCAGGCCCAGGTTTCGTCAATGTCCGGAATGGCCAGGTGCGCATCCTAAACCAGGGCGAGCAAAGGGCCGGGACCGGGGGTCAGATCGCTGTGGCCACAGAAACAGAGAGCGGTGGCAGAGCCTGCCGGGCTATGGTGGTCGTCCATGGTCACACACCTCCTGGTCAGCACGCCAGCCTTGCATCGAACCGACACAGAACTTGTGGCCAAACCGATCAGCGCCTTCCTCAAACTCCTTGTCCGTGATGGGTTTTTCCAAAAACGCGCCCATGGCTCGTGGTGTTTCAAAGACAACAACCAACCGAGGCACCCAGCTGTCAATTTCACATCCACCAGCGGCCGACAACAGGTGAGGCGACCCCCTTTCCAATGTCACGAACGAGCATCCATGGGAAGCGATGCGCAGCTCATACGTACCGCAGGCAGGCAGGTCACGAGCAGAGCGATACTGTTGCAGTCGCCGCACCCTCGACAAACCGGCCGTCACGCTTCAACCCTAACCTCTCTCACATGCACCCCTCCCGATCCTGTCGAAATCAAGCAAGCAGTGCGGGGAAATCCTGTGATCCCGAGCACGCTCCAGACCAGACACCAGACGAGCTGAGCTCCTCTCTCTCTCTCTCTCGACGCGCGCGGCGCTCGTGTGTGTGATTTGGCGCGCGTGTGTGTGTGTGTGTGTGTGTGAGTGAAGAGAAACCGTGAAAGTGAGAAAAGTTTCAGAGAGAGGCTGTGCGGCTTGAAGATATTTAAGAGATATATTCTACTGAGAGTGATGATGAAGAGGTTGAGTTTAGGGGCGAGAATTACACACAAAAGTATAAAGGCAAAATCAGAGAGTGGCGTTTGTATGTAACCATATTCAGACACAAGTTTGAAATGTTGAATAATGTTAGAGAAGAAGCGCCTCGTTCTGGGAAATTTAGAGAGAGGCGGTAAGCCTACCATTGAAAGTGAATGACACAAACCTCGAGATCACCGGATCAATGGATCACATGTGTATTTGATCGGGCAGCGGGCTCTACACACCACAGCAGGATGCATCATGCTCCCCTTTCTCGCGTCCCAGTTGCAGCGGGCTGCCTCAGTTACAAGGCAGCCCGCTGCCATTTGAACAGCCTGCACCCTTTACCGTTATGCTCTTTTTGTCTTACCACATGGTTAACGTCATGTCTTTTTGTAACGTTCATCTCTGCATGTCTTCAACTCTGCACCTCTGACTGTGACGCTGTGGCTGGCTCTATCTCTGAATCCTCTTTGACTCTCTGCTATCTCGTTCTGTTTCACTTTGTAATGTATCTGGTCTTTCGCTCTGGTCTCTGATCCGTTCCACGCTCTCTAGCTCTATCTCTTTGCTTCATCTCTGTCTCTCATAATGTCATACGCGTACACATAACACATGTGCGCCACCAAGATGTACAAACAACAGCTGTTGGGTTAAGGTGTTGTCTGACATCCGTCTTCTTCGAAAGTCAATTTGCGGGACAGAGGGCTAGAGGCGCTTACGCTACGCTATGCACATTATCATCAGATTGTCTAAGAGACGGATTCGTGGCGCATAAATTAGGCGTGCTGTTCGTCGAGGTCGTCAAAGTCGGCCTCCTCCTCAAGGTGGCCGGTGCCCCCGGCATTGCCCGGGTGGTTTGGGGTCACCACCACCATGTCCTCGTTCTCCGCCTTGACCACATGCACCGTTTCGCCGTCGCGAACCTCACCCGACAAGAGCGCCCGGGCCAATGGGTTCTTGACATATTTCTAAACACGAGCAAACCGGACGCCGGCACACACAGGGTCCGCGCGTGTAAATACATGTATACCTGTCAGCAACACATGGGACAACTGCAAGCAACACTGCCAGAAGCAACGACTTACGTGAACAGCCCGGTTCAAGGGTCGAGCACCATAGGCAGGATCGTAGCCCTTCTCGCAGAGCCAAGCACGCGCCTCATCGTTCACATCGAGCGTGATGCGATGATTGTTGGCCAGCACCTGGCCCAGTTCCTCCAAACGAATGTCCAAAATACCGGTCATGTGCTTGCGGCCCAACCGGTTGAACAGAATCATCTCATCGATCCGGTTGACAAACTCGGGCGAAAACTGGTCCCGCACCTGCACATGCGCCCACCATGTCAGATACCCAGCCATGTGAGAGGCGACCCAATAGCGCGCAAGCCATCACGGGCCCCGGATAGAAGAAGCCAGATGGAAGCAACGGCAACTGTCCGTACCAAGCGGCGCATTTCATCACGCAGGCCATCGTTGTTCACATCCGACACCTCGGCCAACATGTTGGCCCCCAAATTGCTAGTCATGATCAAGATTGTGTTGCTGAAATCCACCTGCACATACGCACCACAGGACCCCACGCCATTGAGCTCTCAACCACCCACCATCGCTTACAGTTACGAGCAAAGCAAAACGAAACACATCACAACTTCTCATTCAATGTCACTCCCAAGAGTAAACAGCAACGATACACCCACCTTGCGGCCCTTGCTGTCCGTCAAGTGACCATCATCCAGCACTTGCAGCAACATGTTGCTCACATCGCGATGCGCCTTTTCAAACTCTGTGTGCGACCAAAACCGTTTATGCCGCACCAGTGAGTCCAGCGAGTGGCCTCACATGTCAGTCACACCATGACTTTAAACGACACTGCTCCGTTTTTTTTTCCTTTGACGACATCACGTACCGTCGAGGAGAATGACGGCATAGGGGCGGCGCCGAACGGCCTCGGTAAGCTGGCCGCCCTCTTCGTAGCCCACGTAGCCGGGCGGGGATCCAATGAGGCGGGAGACGGAAAACTTTTCCATGTACTCGCTCATGTCCAGGCGAATCAAGGCCGCCTCAGTGTCAAACATAAACTCAGACAGGGCCTTGCAGAGCTCAGTCTTGCCCACACCCGTGGGTCCCAAAAAGAGCGCCGACATGATGGGTCGTTTGCCCTGGGCTAAACCGGCTCGGCTCAGCCGAACAGCGTTGGACACGGCCTGTACCGCCGAGTCTTGACCCACGACGCGCTCCTGTGACAAGTCGACAAAAGAATGAAAAAAATGAAAAATAAAACAAATAAGGCATCAGAGCAGGCAAGGCGGTGGATATGTGCCAGGACATTGATGAGTGCAGTGTTTCAGAAGAAAGGCAGGGCGGACAATTCAATTCACAAGCACGCACCTGCAGGATCGACTCCATGTTGAGCAGTTTTTCGCGCTCGGAGCGGAGCATCTGGTGGACGGGAATGCCTGTGGCGCGGGACACTACTTGGGCAATGTCCCGCGAGGTGACGCGGTCACCCATGAGGCGTGTGTCGGCCGTTTTTTCCACCGATTTCTCCTCCGTTTCGAGGCGTTGCTGCAGGGCAGGAAGGTCGTTGTACTTGAGTTTGGAGGCCAATTCATAGTTACCATCACGCATGGCGTGCTCGAGCTTGAGCTTGAGGCTATCGAGCTCTTCGCGCAAGCGGGTGCGGGTGGTCAGAGTAGCTCTTTCACTTTCCCATTGGGCGGTGAGCTCGTCGATGCGAGCTTGTGTGTTGGCCACCTCGCGTTCAATGTGCGCCCGCCGTTCCTTGGAGGCGGCATCGGTCTCCTTCTTGAGGGCCTCGAGCTCGATTTTGAGGGTGAGGAGGTCGTGGTCGAGCTGATCAATAATCTCGGGCTTGCTCTCTTGCTGCATGCGGAGGCGGGAGGCAGCCTCGTCGATCAGGTCAATGGCCTTGTCCGGGAGGAAGCGGTCGGCAATGTAGCGCTCGGACTGGGTAGCGGCGGCCACGAGGGCACCGTCGGTGATTTGAACGCCGTGGTGCAGCTCGTACTTTTCTTTGAGGCCGCGAAGAATGGAGATGGTGTCCTGAACGTTGGGCTCGTTGACGAGGACGGATTGAAAGCGTCGGGCGAGGGCAGCGTCCTTCTCGATATAGCGGCGATATTCCTCGAGGGTGGTGGCACCGAGGAGCTGAAGCTCGCCACGAGCGAGGGCGGGCTTGAGGATGTTGCCGGCATCCATGGCACCATCACCGCCACCGCCAAGGCCAAGGACCATGTGCAGTTCGTCGATGAAAAGAATGTAGCGGCCGTCGGCTTCGCTGATATCGTTGATGACGGCTTTGAGGCGTTCCTCAAACTCGCCGCGAAACTTGGCGCCGGCAATGAGAGCGGCCAGGTCAAGAGATACCACTTCCTTGTCATGCATGGATGCGGGGGCGTCGCGGTTGACGAGGCGTTGAGCCAGGCCCTCCGCCACGGCTGTTTTGCCGACACCAGCCGAGCCGACGAGGCAGGGGTTGGACTTTGTGCGACGGCTGAGAATCTGGAGGCAACGGCGGATCTCCTCATCGCGCCCAATGACGGGGTCCAGCTTACCGTCGCGAGCTAGTTGGGTCAGGTTGACAGAGTAGCGTTTGAGGTTTTCACCTTTGGGCATGGCCTGCGGCTTGACCCAGCTCGAGGGTTGGCCCTGCTGCTGGAGGCTGCGGTTGGTGTGCAGACCACGCAGAGCCAAGTGGTGGCGGGCAGCCAGGACTCCAGCAGGGGCAACCAGCTGGCGATGGACGGCGCGCTGTTCTGGCCGACGAGGCGCAACTCGGGTGGCGGGTGTGTGCTGGCTCGCCAGGCGCCGATGTGCAAGCCGCGAGACGGCTCGCAGACTGCGGGCGCTTGGCGCCCCAGACGCGGGATTCATGTTTGCAACCTTGGTTCCAGAATGGGGATGGAGGAGGAAGCAGAGTGAGCAGGGAGAACCCAGGAAGCGTCAGCTTGTCAGTCAAGACGAGTGAGATGGATGATGAGAAAGAAAATGCCACTCAAGTCCCCAGCGTTGACTTTTGTTGCAAGCGTTGCTCAACGTACGTTCCGGTGTGTGCTGTGTGTGCTGTGTGTGCTGTGTGTGCTGTGTGTGCTGTGTGTGCTGTGTGCAATCCAGTGGCTGGGCGCGCATGTGTCACCTTTGCATATGTGCGTTTTTGTGTGTCAGATGTGCCGCGCGGCAAATGCACTTGTCACCCACCCCCAACATCCAAACGTACCCAAACTAACAGCCGCCCGTCAGATCCAGTGGATAACCAACCAGCCGTCGAGCACCCAGCTACGCCACAGGTCCAGCGAGGAAAGAGGTCCTCGGCAGCACTCCAGAGCCTGCCAGAAGCGCAAAAAAAAAAAAAAAAAATCAAGAGAGAGAGAGAGAGAGGTTTCTCGTCATTTCTGGCAAGAGCAGCAATCGTCTGGGAGTCACGTTCAAACACTTGATCGTCTCTAAATTTTCGTCGGCAGATGGCTCAACCTCTGGAGTAACCTTGATTCTCCAAGCTTGTCTTTAACCTCTTTTCCACTTGTCTCTGGAAGCAGGCTCGAGTCGGCTCATGTCTCTCTACATCAGCTCGATTAATTTATCTGACATGCTGATATTTACTCTAAAAAAATCTCACTGACCTCGTCAGCTGTCTACTCCATTGCAAAATCGAATGTCCTCGTTTGAGGTTGCGAAATACATCCTGACGTCTTCATCCCGAGGGGTAGCGTCCTGGCCCGCAGCACGGCGCCCGCTTTCTTCTGCTGGCTGGCGCGGCTGGACCACTCCTCACACACACACACACACACACACACACACACACACACACACACACACACACACACACACACATACGCCTTTACGTTATTACGTAGGCTCGAGTTGCCCTGGCTCGTTGCAGCAAGATGACCAGGAAATTTGTAAAAGTGGTATGATTCTGTGCTGCATACACCCACACCCACAATTTGACCCCAAGGATCCTGCCTCGGCTCCCAACAATACGGCCCACATTTGACTTTTCTTGCTCACTCAAGGACCCGGGCTTGGCCGGATGCCAGAGGGCGCCACGTCGAAAAGGTGTCGTGCGAGCGTGGCGCCACGCAGGGCTGACCGATCGACGTCTTGGGGTTGTCCGTCACATGGGACATCGTTGTTGATGATTTGTGCGCCTTGATGGGCAAGAAAGAAGCAGGAAAGGGCGAGTGGTGGCGTGGCGGCGTGGCGCTGCCCCACGGTAGTGACCCCGCGGCATCGAGGCAACGTGCAAGAAATGGATTCTCGAGAACCCGACTGACCCTGCTTCGCGACGACCAAAGCACAGTGATACCCAGCACAGCTGCAGCAACGCCGTCCAATGCGCTGGGGTCAATGTGAGCAGGCAACGTCCAGGTGGGGTGCCGTTTATCGGAGGAGCAATTGTATGCATGCGAACAGTGCAATTCTTGGCTCAAGCTTGAATCGGTCGCGTACCCTGGACATGGCATGTGCGGGCAGCACCGCTGTCCCATGAACCCTTGATTGGCAAGGCCCCGATCAGAATGGCAGGGCGTCTAGCCAGTCAATGACTGAAGAGCAACAGTCGCCGTCGATGCCATGGCTGGAGGTTGAGCTTCCCTCATTCCTTGCGTCGAATGCCTTTTCAAGTCTGGCCCAACCGCATTGCCACTGCAGGCAGAAACCAGTGTGATGACGTAGTGCTTGTAAGGATTTGGGTCTTGTCCTGTCTCGATATCTTCCTTGCGCCCTCTTGCACACACCTATCTACGGCCACGAGTGCGACCTTGTGACCTGGTTTTCATGCCTCTATCTTTTCGTGTGGTTGTTGTTCTTCGACTGCCATCTTTGGCAGTAGTGGCACGGGGGCAAAGTGGGCTGCCATCTAACCCCCTTATGTTTGGCAGGATCACTTCGTACCTTCTGACAAAACGGTGGATGGAAGGGAGGATACTTTCCAAGTTTTACCGGGGGTTCCTTGGTACACTGGCCGCTGCCCAGCCAATTCCTTGAATCGGCATGTAGCGGACGACTGACTTAGAGGCGGTCAGACGACTCATGTGCGATGCCGCTGCTCAAATTTTCGTCATGCCATGTGCTTAAATTACCGACCAGCTCGAAGAATGAAGCCAAGGCGCTAGAAGGACTCTTTCTCAAGTCTGTATGGATGCAACGATACTCAAAGGTAGTCATGCTTGTGTCCTCCGATTTCGTCTTTTGGTCAACCAAGGTGGGATAGCCAAAGCAAACGCCGGCGCAGCCAGGTGCAACCGACACGAGCAGGAGTGGAAAGAGAGTGAGTGTGTGCGTCGAGCGAGCAAACACGACACCGAGAGGGACATACACACACACACACACACATACACACAGATAGAAAAGGCGCCCCCACGGTTGATGGGAGTGGGTACGACCGTGATGTGCTTTTTTTCTGCAACAACAGCGGCAATAGCGTGAGCTTGATGGCCACTTGTTCCCATCTATGCGGCCCCCTTCTTTTTGTGTCTGTGGACATCCACGCACACACACACACACACTCTCTCTCGCTCACATTACACAAACACACACAGAGAGTGCTGCTGCCGCAGCCCGAACAGCCGCCTAAAGAGATGAAGCAGAAGAAGAAGCAGAAGAAGAAAAAGACGAAAAAAAATTAAATTTTGACAAAGTCTTTTGTTGTTGTGCTGACCAACACTCTAACTTTTGTATGGATTTGTTTCCTTTCGAGTTTTGGCAGCGCCCCCGCTGTTCGAGGGTGATTGGTTGCGAGTGCTGGTCTGGTAGCAAGCGAGGGATGGCTGTAAACTCCATAGGTTCATCCAGCCTCTTCATGATGTTGGGGGGTAGATGAACGATCAGCAAGGGACGAAGGTATCAGCTGTTGATCATCATCACCCGCATTGACAACCATCACACTCTTCGTAGAAGAAGATATGGCTGCACACCACTCAGCATCTGAACCCAAAACCACGGTGGTCATACAGATCCGTAGCTGGCAACAGCAACGGCAATGCCTCTGCCAACGGCAGCTGGGCCACTGCCGGAGATGTGCCGGAAATGCTGGTGCGTCTCGCGAGAGGGAAGGATACATGGATCGTTGTGAGCAGCGGAAGAGGCAGAGAGAAAGACTGAGGCAGAGACAGAGCGATGAAGAGACACAATGGCCAACGTAAAAGCAAAGCTAAATCAGAGATTAGAGAGACAAACCAACAAAACAAAGAGACTGAAAGTTAGAGAGAGATGTGTGTGGCAAAAAGCCAGATTTCCATTTCACGAGACACTGCTTTGCACGACATCATCATCATCATCATCAGAGGGCTCCCCGTTCTTCCCCTCTTTGTTTGCCCGTTGAGATAGCCTCTCACACGGATGTCTTCATGATCGCTCGAGTGAGAAGGAGTTGAGGATGCGACTTTGACCATTTTTCTGTCCAAGTGGCCACCTCAACACACACTGCTCTGCCGTGCTTGACTTTTGACTTTTCAGCCCATTGCGTTCAAGCATCCCGAAGCTCCCCGCTCGTCTGCACACTGCGTTGGCCATCAACGTTTGGGGTCTGCCAGTCGGGTGCTCGATTCGGTATCCTTGTTGTTTGTCTCGTGATAGTGACAGACAGCGTCCAGATCGTGCGCTGCTGCAGGTTGGTCCCCGTTCCCGCTGCCCGCTGCCTGCTTGCACGGCTTGCCCGACCCGGCCACACAAACATGCCTTGACACACCAAGACACGATCATTCCACCGCCGTTACCGGCAGAAGGAGGCCTGCCGCCCCAGCATACCACTCTATCAGATCCTGAGTCGTGCTGACCAAGTACCCCTCTCTCACTCTCACTCACACACACACACACACACACACACACACACACACACACACACACACACACACACACACAGCACCAGCCCGTTACTCCAAATACATATCGCATCAACATGATAGACATGCCCTCGTACCCGCTTTTGCGCCTGTGCTTTTCCATGGACATCCTCCCTCTTCTGCCAAACGACTTGCCAAGATCGATTATGCCTGCCAATCCGTGCCCGGCTGCTTCTCGTCCTTTACACCATTCTGTCTTCCTGGTCCCTTTCACACCATTGATGGCAAAGGAAGAGGAAGAGACGAAGCAGCACACGCCTGAACTGCTCTCGTGAAAACGTGCAATACATGCGTGTGCGCGTGTGATTTTCATGTCGGCTTGCTCAGATCTCTCTGACCATTGTCTGTCTGATGCTTTTATACCGTCCTGCTTCGTCGCTCGTTTGTGTCTTCTTGCTCTCTCTTTTCATCTTCCCGTTCTCGTTCTCTCCCGGGTGATGGCCATTTCGCCTCAACGCATGCATCTTCCCAACAACAAACAACGCTTCTGGTTTTGTGCGGTCTTGCCAAACTTGCCGGCGAGACACCCAGTCAACCGCCAGCTACCTTGTCCCGCTGCCCTGAGCACACACACACACACCCGGCTCCAGCAACGATTGTTCTGTTCTGATCTTCAGCGCCGCCTGCCATCAGCATCAGCGTTTGTGTGTTGAGCCTGGACACCTTCTCTTTGGTTCCTCCTTCCCTTCACACACACACACACACACACACACACACACACTTTCTAGTTGTGGTCCGTAATACATGAGATTGCGACTGTGACTGCTACTGCGACTGCGACTGTAACTGCTCTGCTACTATGACAACATGTACTATGAGCTGCTTCTTGTTCTTCCTCCTCCTCTGCCTCATCCTCTTCTTCTTCTTCTTCTTCTACACTTCTTCTTGAACTGCTTCTTCTTGCATCTTCATCCATTTCGCTACCTGCCTGTGCACTCTAAATTTCCCAATCTCTCTTTGTGGTGTTTTGTCGACTTTTCTCCCAATCTCTCTCTTTGTCGACTTTTTCTCTTTGTCACACATGATAACAATTTGTGACCCAAAGTCGCCTTGACTGACGCGTTAACACAAGCAGAGCGCGAGAACAAAAGAATGTGTGGATGTGGGCTTTTTTTCTTAGATTTCTTCGCGTGGGGTGGCGTAATGTATTGAAGGTGTGGACCCAACACCAAACACGAGTGGTGGTTGTGTTGACATGATGTTGGCTTCCAAATCTCGGTTCTGCTCCTCTCTGCTCCTCTCTACTCTGTTCTGCTCTGCTGAGCTGTGCGGCTGGAGTGGTGTACTTGTCTTCGGCGGTGCGGGGTGATCTGGCAGCTCAGTGTCTCCTGGACGCGAAGCTGTACAGACGGGGCACACCTCGCCGTCCGTCGGTCGCTTCCCTCTTTTCGTTCGTAAGACAAGTCCAGCTCCGTCGTTTTTTGTGTGCATGTGTACGTTGGAATTTTGATTCCCATAAGCCACCCATCCGTTTTTCCGACTCCCCAGACTGCACTCTGTCTGTGTGTGTGTGTGTGTGTGTGTGTGCGTAGTGGCTTTTGCACAATCTGTCTGTCTGCTGTCGTCACCGGTGGGGCCACTCATCTCGTTCCGGTCTTGATGGGTATAATACTCTGACCACCTCTCCCACACATCACACCACGAGCCACCTCCGCTCTTGTCTTGTTCTCTGGCATACTCCTGCTTTGGTATGCCAATATCCATGCCGATGTGGTCATGGTGTTTGGTCCGTCTGCCGCTCTGTTCGCCGATAACGTTGTGCCCATTCTTTGTTGCTGGGGGGGTTGGCCTGCCATTCATCTTTTTCTGACCACTCTGAGCTTTAACTTTGGCCTGCATCATCCCCCCACTTCCCCCAACCTCGATTCCTTTTCCTCGATCCCCCCCATCAA